TGTAACTATGTATTCCAAAATTAAACAACCTTAAAACATTACAACCATTTCCAGGCCTTCTTAACAAACAGACACTAGTTTCACCCATTATCGAGTACCCACTGTACCATGTGAGGGCTTATTCCCGGTATCGTTAGCAGTCAGCCGCCTGCTTGTTCATACATCTTTGGCCCTGCTCCCGCTCCGATCCGCCCTTCCGCTGGCTTCCACAGTCCCCAGCATCATTTGTTATCGTTGCGTATATTGCAACTGCTAGTTCCACGTCCGAATACTTGGAGTAAATTTCTGTGATAGGGTAAAAATTGCATGTTGGCTTAGAGAGAGCGCAATAACAACTTCCGTGACAGTTTCCCACTGGCTAAAGTTTTAATTTTCCAACTTGATGAACATCAGTGTTGGTATTTACGAGGTCTTTTCCGCTTAGTTCCTGATTTAAATTAATAGTGTAAGGGTGTAGGAAAAACCCTTTTTTCATGGCTTTATTATTAAACAGACATTTTGTACTGCTGCATGCCACGCCCCTTTAGTCGGTATGCATAACACTAAACTTATACTAGACACGCCCGCAAACATAAACCTAGAAAAACTTCTAAAAAAAAAAAGCAAAGAACAAAAACAAACAACAAACAAACAAAAAAAAGGAAAAAGTTGCAACAAAAGTGGGAAAAGCGGAAATAAATCTAACAAAACGGCTTTAGTAGCAGGCCTTGCCTCCCCCTGAAAGCCTCCCAGAAATTTATATCCTCCATAACATACATATGTGTGTGTGTGTTTCGGGTTTTTGATTTCATGTTTTATGTTTTATTTTGTTTTTTCTTTGGCTTATTGTCACAAGCATGTATGTACATATGTCTATGTAAGTAAATATATAAGTCATGCCTCGTAAGGCTAATGTTTTCACAGTGGAAAAGATTTGTTACAGATTTCGGTTACGCAGAAACAAGAAAAACCAAAACTCTTAGTGCAATGCCCTTTCCCCCACTCAAGTGAGGTAGGTTTTCATAGGAATTTACGAATTTTCCTCGCATTTGGGACTTGAAATGCCCATTAGAAGGGATCACAAAATGTTTAAATATTTTTAAATCATAAATAAATCCCTCAAAACATACACAGACACAACCCTCTCTCCTGAAACAATGTACCCGTCACGATAAAAAAAAACTCGCTTTACTCACAACAAATAAAGTTTGAGGGGACTTTTTTTTTTTTTTTTAGACATGTTTTAGGTGAACGGCAGCAACGGCACCCAAAGCTAATATTTTTTCGAGGCGGAATTTATGTGTAACGATTATTTCAGTTGAACGAATACAGACCGCACAGCGAAATCATTATTTACACATGTCCCGAAATTGGTTTTATTTTTTTATATTTTTTACTCTGCCACTCGAAATGTGTGAGAGTTCATTCATATCGTAATTGTGCCATTTTTCGTAGCTGCTTCTCAATGGAAACATAAACTATGAAGAGTTTATTAAAAGGTTTTCCAGAAGTTTGAGAATTTTTGGGTTTAGTGAAGAGTTTAAAATGTAGTTAAGATATTAAAGGAAATAATTTAAAGCTTAATTATGTAATATCTAAAATATAATATAAAATATCTACAGTAAATTTTTAATTTTTATTAATATTAAATGTCACGTTCTTGATCTTGAACTTTATGTAAGAAAAACTTAAATCTATTTTTTCTAAATACCAATACAATCTGGATCTATATTATAATATGAACCTTATTGTTTATAGTATAAGGCAATTATTTTTATATAAAAACTATACCTTTTCTCTGCCTGATCTTCACGATAAGCATATGTTTGATTACAACCCTTTCTTTCGTTCGTTCCCCTAACAAAATTTCTGGCAAACGTAGTCAGTTTTGAATTCAGTTAGGAACATGCAATTACTCCAAAGGATACCGGTATGAGCACACATCCTGCTCATGCTCCTTATCTGCATCTCTGGCTGCTGGACGAGCACCAGCAGCATCTGCAGCATGTGCAACTCGCATTTATTCCTGGCCCCCAGGAAGCATGTTTTTGTACGGCCATTCCAGCCTTCTCGTTAAGTCATTTAAATTAGATTGCATTTTTGGGCCAACGTGCTTGGCATTTTCGATTATTTGGAAACTGTGGCTGCCACAAACCAGCAGTTAAAACATAAAAATAGTAACATTTTGATTGAAATTTAGCTGGCAATACATTAAAATTAAAATACAAGGCGAGAGCTTGCTAATGTTTACACTAACAAAATAGTTATAAATCTAAATTCTGAAACTTTAAGTTGCGTTTTGCAATAAAACCCGTCAGCTTGTTAATGTTAACGCTAACGTAATATTTATAAATATTAATTCTGCAACTTTTAGTTACATTTTGTAATAAAAAGAATCCCCACAACCTCTGTCATTTTTTTGGCAAAAAAAAATATTAAAAGCAGACGGGAGACCCAAAAAAAAAATAAAGAGGGCGAAATACAAGTGTAAAGGCAGGACAATACGTCACAGCTCTAGACACAAAGGACATGCAGGCATGATTTTTATGAGCTTGTATTTATGTGATTTCCTTATATCCCTGCGGTGGAGGCCCTGTGATGGCCATGGGTCCTGCCGCCAGGACACAACACATACAAGCACCCAACAATAGCGGCAAGTGGAATATATGAAATGAAATTGCTTCCCATATTGCTCACTCTTCTCCGCACAGATTGAGGTACGTACACATGCTCTGGTACATTTATGGTTATTAAATTGCATAAAGGGCGCATTTCTCTGCAGAAATGAAATATCTAACTATTCGATTCTGAAGTTCCCCTAAGAGTTGAAGAGTATCTTCCACTTAAATGACAAATAATTTACAGTTTAATCCATCGATTTGGCTCATTAATTTAATAGTAGTTACAATGGCCCCCTGCATTTATGTAATTACCCGCATTCTCAATAATTTTGTTTAATAACAAAGCATCCTTAAGTGAATTCCACGAATTATTTAATGCCACTTAAAAAGACGAAACCCCTTTTTATTTCCTTTTGTTTATGGCCGATTTTAAATGGCACAACAATAGTCCCTTCGTCCGAGTATCCTTTGTGTTGTTACAAAATAATCGTAACTTTTATTAATTGACACGACAACTGCTTGTGCCGGATTTTTGAATTTTAAATAATTCCCTTTGATGGCACAGTCACTTCCACGATGGCAGTTTAATTGTGCGGCCAGACTGCGGGGCAATAAAATAATTTTACGATCCTTTTCCTGGCCACCATATCCTTCTCCCTCCCCACACCGAGACGAGAAACAAGTGAAAAAGTTTGAGTTGATTTCCCAGCAAAGGAAAATCCCTCCAGGAGTGGCCTGCATTTTCCCTCCATCTTGTCCTTATGGCCTGCATTTTGTGGCTGACTTTTGTCCCAACAAAAAGTCGAGAATATGGGTAGCTGATGGCAGCCGATGGTTCCCTTATGACGGGAGCTCTTCGGCTTTGCCCACACATCATGAAGTCGCACTGGCAAGTAAATGTCAATACATATGGTTACATGGAACACAGAGCACGGCGAACGAGTGCACACCTGCCAGGTGCTGGGCAAATAGAGCAGAAGGACTGCTTCCAAGTAGATAGTCTTCTTTTAAAGTTTATTGAACCGTTAGAATAGGAAAAGTGAGCTGAAGGATAGGAAACGCATACTTTAAACCAACAATTGAAATGTTTTTAAGTTTAAACACATATAAAATTACATGAAACAGGGAGTAAAGAGATATTTGCTTCGATCTTTTATGGGTTTCTTATTTCTTTGAATTTTTCTGCTCGGACAAATCTTGAATCAGCATAGCAGCTGTGTTTGTTTGTTTCATTAAAACACATTTTATAATGTATATGAATATATGTTTATCAACATATAGTAATTTTATACATTTATTTCCATTCCTTCTATTTAAATAAAAACCAGGACACTCCAAGATGACCTTTAAATCACTCATACGCAGTGTGGTCATGATAGAATATTACTTCGATTTTTTTTTTAGTTAGCTTCGCCAAAGATAATCAATTATTCAGTAACTTGGTATTATAGCCTTAATATCTACTCTTATTTATACACTTTTCTTGCCTTAAAAAATCTTTAAAATTAATAATAAAAGTGCAAACAAAAAGTTATCTCCCATAGATATAAATCTCCCCCTCTCAACATATTAAATAATTACTGTTTAAATTTGTATTTATTTTTTCAAAGTATTCCGACACTTAATTGTTGTATCAGGATAAACTTCCCCATCCCCATCCCCATCCCCTCCCCTGTAAATTCCTGGGCATTATTGTCGTGTTTTGCTTGTACAGAATGGGAACAGCAACATGACCAAGTAATGCTAGGCATAATCATAAAAATCCCCGGAGCGTTGACTGGCGACGCCTTAAAGCCGCAACCACAACAGAGTACCAGGACTACCAGCTCGGCAGACTCAGCATCCTGAATCACACAGGATGTGCTCCGGCTTGGTGTCTGCAGATTAACATGAAGGCCGTGCGACGCCTAGCTCGCTCACTCTTGGCCATGATTTAATTAAAGTCTACATGTGCTAAGTAGATTTTATTCTTTGCTTGCTTATTTGGTTTATTTGCCTATTTTCTGGCATCTCTTCTACGCTTTCCGCCTGCTGGCCATAATTGATTTAGGCATTTACTGCATTAAACGGCCCCGTCGAGTCTTCCTCATATACTGGGTATTATTTTAAGAGGGAAAAGAGAAATTTACTTTGATTTGAAGAAGCAAATGTGGACTGTAGCCGTCAGGCAATGGCACACTTATTTAATTTATTATTTAAAATCAAATTAAGGTAAACAAAAAACTTGGTAATAAGAGAAGTAAAGTTTAATCTTAGTAAATATAGTTGGGAAATGCCTTTCCACAATGCAATAAAAGCCCCAACACTCACATTTCATAAGTAATTATATAATATATCTTAAAATCTACACATGTAGGGCCTAATTATATTTCCTTAATTAAAGGTATATTGCCAACTTACATAACGACTTAATTCCAAGTGGCTGCTGCTGCTGCTGCTGTTGCTCCTGCAGTGCCCAAGTTCTCGAAATGCTTATAATTATCATGATAATTGGCGTAAGGTTGCAGCCCGAGCACTTGCCTGGCGTGGCCATGGTCCTTCTGATAATTATTGTTTATTAACTTTGAGCTATTCAATTCATTCAAAAGTGCTGGTTTGAAGGTAATTTTACACCTTTATCTCGAATATTTTTGGCTCACATTACTTGAAATGATTTGACAAAAGGCAGCAGCAGGCTCTGGAGTCCATTCTGGAAAGAGGGGAAATCATTTAAGGTAATTAGTGAAAATATTTCATATTAATTAAGAGTTAATTGATGGCCTTTTCAAATTATTTTGTTAGTTTGTTTTTATTTTGTGGCTTTAAGCAAGTGCTTTGTAATCATTTAATGTTATTTACTTGGAAAAAATCATTAATGATATATTTTAAAGATTCACTCATAAAAATATGTTTATATTATATTTATTTTTATTTTATATTTTATATTTTATTACAGAAGAATCAAGTGTCTAGTGTTCATAGCTACTTAACCTTAAAGTAACTCAATTTTAGGTACAAAATTATATGACTGTATATTTTTATTAAATAATAAAATCTCTCACATGTGCACATAAAATTCCCAACTGGTTCTAACATCCTTACAGTGAAGTGACGGTGCCAACGGGCGGCTTTTTTAGGTTCTAGATTTTAGGTAAACATTTTTATGAGTGTATATTTTCATTATTGTTTGAATTTTAAGCTTAAAGAAGAGTTTTCTTGTTTAATATATCCTATAAATAATATCCTTTAGACAATATCCTTTACAAAGATAAAATTCAAAGGCACAACCTCAAACCTACATTTTAAGTACGTCAACAGCAAATCGCAAAAAGGATTATACAATTTCAAAAATAAAACAAACCGATATCCTTTCCTTTTTTTGTATCTAGGACAATAATTATCCAACACAAATAAGTGAAATGTTATCGCATGTTTGACCTGCATCAAAATCAATACTGAACATAATTTAATTTCAACAAACAGCGATATTAACCAAGGACCTTCGTCCGTAACAAATGGCTCCCCCATTCGCATCATTTATCCCGTATCAAATAGCTGTCGCATTAATTTTTTTCTCTGTTGTTTATGTTTGTTAAGCCCCCATATATATTGTGTGTGTTCGATGCCGAGTTGCTTATCGCGGACATGTCACGTGGCTGTCCATGTTCTTGTCCTTGGATGCTTTATCCCAATGCTAACAAGTGCATTAATATTTACCTCCCGCATGGAGCCTGTTTAAATAGTTTTTATTATTGCGCCATAAAGGTGAGTGAGTGTGCATGTTGCAGCCTTGATCACTTGCAAAGGCCAAAATCCAATTAAAATGTTAATTTTGGCAGCACAAACGGCGGCAAAAGTGAAATTTTGACCCAGGAAAATCGCTGCCAAAGAGAAGACTTTGTTGCTGGAATCTCTCAGGTAATCACCGCATTTAAATGTTGCTTTTTTTAATGTTGTAATGAGCTGTTTGTTGCCACGCCAATCACAAACTGTATGTGTGGTTGTTAAATTAAACTGGAATCCGGCTTACAGTGCAGCTGGTGGCTATTGTTGTTACCAATTCCATTGATTGTTAATTGCATTTTGCGGTTTTTACCCTTGCCTGTAGCAGACTCTAATTTTGATACATCTAAGAAGCTTATTCTACTATTTGATTGTAATTAACTCTAGTCCTTCATGGGTCGAGCCCACTTTGTCTACATGAGTGCGTATCGCCTCGTCTGGCTTTTGTCTCCTTTTGTCTACTGCCAGGCATAAATACAAGTTAATTAAACAAACCAGCCAGGCTGGAGCCTGGCCTGCACATTAATCACCTGGACACTGGCCAAAAAGCCACACAAAAACCACCTGGAGACCACTTGATCTCTCTTAAAGGTACAGAATTCCCACAAAACCAAAAAGGAAAAAAATACCATTGAAGCAAATTCAATTAGAATGAACACGAAGGAAGGAGCAAGCATTTCGATTTCAATGTCCTCTTTTGAGATTGTCTAACTCACAGGACATATGTCCTGCGCCTAGAAGATTAATGAGCGACACGCTCATCTACTTCCATTCTCTCAAGCGACACTTAATTAATCGCCAGGAAGGGGGAAGTCACGAAGGCCCAGACGAGGTCCTTGGCCTGCGTTTATTATAGCCTTTAAAGATGCCGCTGGAAAATATGCTCGTTTAAATTTAAGAAAGAATTAAAGAAGAATCCTTTGAACTCTTTAACAACATTTGCTTTTGACTGAAGTTTTTAAGTTTTTAACCACTTAATAAGAAAGTTTCAATATAGAACAGGAAGCTATAAGCTGAAGCTGTATTTGAGAAATAAAAGAAAACTTTTCAAGAAACCGTTTAAGATGGGAATTTTAGTTTAAATGTATATTACTAATTTTATTAGAGAATGCAATTTCAAAATAGCTCAAAGACCACATAAAGCATCAAGGTTTGGACACCCAAATAAAGCAAACTTCCAAGTGTCCATAAACGAATATGTTGCAAAAAAAAAAATAAACCAAAATAAATTCGCCTACCAACAGGTCTTCCTCAACTTTTATTCCTTTGAGAGAGCAAAAAAAACCCCATTGGGACTGGGCATCATCATCGTCAGCATTAAATTGGTCAATCAATTGGATGTACTATACATATCAGTAAAAGTTGAGGAAAGTTTAAAACTACACTTATTATTGGCGGCTTGTGGAAACTTTATTTTCCGACCAATTTCTGCGAAACTTTTGAAGGCCCCTTCCCGTCTCTCTTGGAATTAATTACACGCCCTCACTTTTCGTATTGGCCACAAGAACAAAGTCATGGGAAGAAAATCAGGGCTCATTTCAAAGTCAATCCATAGCACACGTGCTCATTAGGTCGCGGAAAAACTTGAAGCAAATTCAAAAGCAGATAAGGTGTAGAGCGAAAAAGAGAGAACTTTTGAGAAAAACTTTCACCTGAACAGGGAAAAACTTTGATTTGAGTCCAAGACAAAAATGAACAAAAAAAATACAAATACAAATACAAATTTTGTGCGGAAAACTCTCCTGGCTGGCCTTTGTTTATGCAACTGACACAGAAATTTGAGAGGAAATATGTGTGATTTGTTTTCCTCTCCGAGTGAAAAAGTTTCCTCGAGAAACTCCGAGTAACAAATGCATTTTCGATTAGTCCTAAATCACGTCGCGCGGCTGTCTGGATTCATTTCCGCTGGGAAGTCCATGCTGGACCTCTGATTTATCTGCGGTTTCCTGAGAAGAACTGAAAGGGAATTTAAGATTTTAAATAAAACACTTACTTGTGCTTCAAACATCCAATGATATGACTTCAGTAGTTGGGCTTTGAAACAATATCCTTTCGCTGGCCGCCTAAAGCGGCCTCGTGTTGAAAAAACTTCACTATCTTTTCCTGTTTAGCACTTTACACTGAGAGAAATTATAGACACCGTTTTATACCCGTTTTTCAGTGTCAGTTTTGAGACGACCAAAAGCCGCAACGCGTTGCGTGGATCTTGAGACGGCGCTGCTTTCCGCGACAACCACAACACCAACCGTAACGAAAGCGGCAACTACGATATCCTTCCGATGCGAGCGATAAGGAGTCGTCGGAACCACAGCCGCGCCAAAGGATAAACACGTGCGCCTCGACTTGAAATCCATTCGATACTGCGGCAACCGAAGGCCGGAGCTTTTCCGTATTGTTGTTTCCTTCTCGGAACGAAGGCAGCGGTTCGTCGAAAGGACGATTACAGTACGAGTCCTGTTTTGCGGCGAATTCGGGAAGGTCCCAGTATTTTAAGGGGGATTTCGGAGAAGGAGAAACTTGAAACCAGTTTTTGAAAAAAATTAATTTAATATTTTAAATAATTATAAATATTAAATATTACCTATTTAAATAATTAAATTTTAATTAATTTCTTTAAAAAATAAATAGCAAAAAGGGAACAATCTTAGATCTTGTTAAAAGTAATTTTTTAAACTTAATTGAAAACCAAAAAGTATTTACCAATTTAAACTATAAGATTAAACCTTTTTATTTAAATTTTTTTATTAAAAAAGTAACATATTTATGATGATAATGTAATCAAAAACATCTTTTAATGTTTTGTAAACCACAAAACCCATAAACTGCTAAATATTATCCCAAAAAAACAGAAAGCAGGGATATTTTAAAACTTATAAAGGGAAAATATGCTCCCGCCAGAAAACAGCAGCAAGCAGTTTCTGGCGGGACACTGCAACTAGGTCTGCTTACTGCAACGTTGTCTGCTTTGTTACTGCTTGCTGCTGTGGGAAATCCAGTCAGCTTTTTAGTTCATCACTGCTTGCAAGTACTTTGAAGTACAATTATTTTAAGAAAAAATATTAAGCAAATTTGCTTAGCATTGAAATTAGTTATTTTATTAATTTAATTAAAAATGATTATTTTTGTAAACATTTCGGCTTCAAATTTGGCTCCTCCCATTTCCGAAAATAAAATAAAACTCGGATTTATTGACTTCACGTTCTTTCAACTTTATATTTATTAATGCAAAATCGTGTACTCTTTTAAATATACAAATGAGATTTTAAAATCGAAAGGGTTTGGCGCGCATGTGAAACAAGGATCCGACTAAAACGCGCTATATTTAAGCACACACTTGGACACAATGGGGAAAAAAAGAACTATATACTAAAAGTAAATATATAGTTGTATAAAAAACTTGTTGAATCTATTGTTTGCCTTCAAAATGCAATTGGAATTGTTAAGTTCTCAGTTAACACAATTTCAAGTAAACGCTTCGCGCATTGCAACACATAAACGCTCTTAAATAATTACAATTACGAACTCCTTTTGTTTACAACGGCTTGGGGAAAACAGAAATTTTAAAATATATTTTTCTCGTCCCGGAGAAAAGATATTTAAACACGCGTGTTTTGTTTTCGGGTTTTTTTTTTTCCTTTTTTTTTAACTAACATAATTCGATATAGAGGTTTGAATTTACTAGGTTTTTTTTCTGTTAGTGTACACTATTCTTCCGGCATCCACAAAGATTTGCTCGTATTGCTTTTTGTTTAATTAGAGACCTGACCTGTTGTTGTTTGTTATGAATGTGTGAGTGGCTTCTTGAGTTTCCATTTTTATTTTTTAACTAATTGCGAAAATTAAGGGGCTTTCCATCACTATTTACTATGACGCGTTTGTTGTTCTTGCAGCAGCTGCGGATGATGGTCGCTGCCTACAGAGAGAGGGTTAAGCGTGCCGGACGCTTAGAATCATTTGAGCTTGGCGTATGCGTCGACCTTTTTGTGAAACTGGTTGTAGTACTCCAGGGCGGCGTTACGCGTTTGGTTCAGTGCCTGGTTGATGTTCTCGGGCGAGAAGCGACCACTGAAACAGAAAGATCACAGGGGTAAGTTATGACGTTTGCGCAGGGTAGTCAGGGAGCAACTTACGTCAGCACCTTCTCCTTAATAAGCACGGCAGACTTGTCGTAGCTGCTGACGGCGAAGTCGCTAACGCCCGCGGCAAAGGCCTCAATCTTACCCGACAAATTGGGCACGTATTCGTCAATCTGCAAAGCAAGAAAGCAAGCAACTTATTAGACAAAGAGGGATCCTAAAGTAATACAGAGATTAATCCAGAAACTGGTTTTTTTTTGCAATGACCTCATCATCAACATCTTCCATCGACACTTACGAACTTAGCCACCACAGGCCACTTGGCACTGAAGTATCCCTTGCCATTCTGATAGACATTGCAGACTGCATTTCTCGCCAGCTTCCACAGATCACATGTGGTCTTGATCGCGGGTTCGGCATACGGCGGCACATTCACCTCCGCCCACTTGTAACCACGGGCACCAGCGCCCATGACCGTATACCAGGTCTTCTGGACATGCGGCAGGACACCAGCATTCTTCAGCACCTTGCCGGTGGCCGATTTCTCAAACACTCCCTTGCCGTTGGTCTCCGTGTCGTAGTACAAAGCGCCGGCGATCAGAGCAATGACAAGGATGCTTCCCAGCGTCCACTTGCAGCAGCCGCATTTCTTTTTCTGTGCCGCGGCATTCTGTTTGTTTTTCTTCTGCTGTGCGCTGCTCTTCTCCTGAACGGTCTGTTTGGAAAGGAAAACAAATGTTGAGGGTTGGGTTTAAAGGCAATGCGTAGTTGGAACAATAATTCCTCAAGATAACATGAGATATTCTGTGTTTACCTTCTTGGCAGTGGGTGCCGGCTTGCCGCCCTGTTTGTTAGTTTTCGGTTTAACCTGAGCCATTTTTTATTATAATTTCACTTAGTTTCGATATAGCAACGAGTATTACTAGATTTCCTCAGCTGTTTGTTGAAAAATGTTGAATTAGTTATTGGATTTTATCACTGCAATTTGATTTGCTAAAAAGAATGACGAGGGCTTTGGCTTTGGCGAGCTTTCAAACCAAGCTTTTTGTTGCGGTTACTGGGAGAGATGATTTGGGGGCGAAGAACAACGAATGCTTTTTAAGGGGATAAGAGCGCGATGACCTAAGATGGGGGGAGAGCGAGAGTAGCACAAATCGCGACGGGGAATAATTAAGAAATATTTTTACAGACGAGCTTCTATAACTTGAAAATTTTCTTAATGATTTGTGGACTAATAATATAATATAATATAATAATCAGTACTTGCATCACAGTTATCGTCTCTATTTATCGTACGTAGTTATCTATCAAACTTATGAATCTTGTAGTTCGTGTTTATCGCTAGTTTATCTGCTGATTAAAGTTTCAATTACTTTTTCCATTTATCATTTGTATTTATCGTACGTATTTATGATATTACTTTTTATAGGTATATCTTTATAGGATTTTTATTATCTTTATATCCAAACCTTTATAGGCAACACACTTCAAAAAGGACAGAGTATTAAAAATTAGTAAAAAAGAAGATACAAGACAAAAAATAAAACATTTTTTCTCCAGAGAATAAAGATTGTTCAGGATTATGCATTAGGGCTTGAAAGATTCGTGTGTTTTTAAAAACATTTAAAAATCATATTTTGTTCAGATATTATTAAATATTCTTTCTCCCAACAAAACATATTTAAATATTTCAACAATAATTTTGAAAATAGCCGCTAGACAACTTTAAGGTTGAACGAACTATGGCCTTAGAACTCTAGTGACCTCTGGATTTTGATTTTCTTTTGTGTTTCAGGTGAATAAAAGAAAGGTAATCAAAAAGAAAAAACCGCTTGCGAAGGCCAGAGAACGAAAGAGCTGAGAAAATCAGGGTCACAGTGGACATGCCACGTGTTGAAGCTGCCTACAAATTCGGCGTTCGTTCGCTTGGCGTTCTTTCTTCAGAGGCGCAATCGTGGCGCTGCGAGAAGAGTGCCAGCAAATGTGCGAAACTGCACCACCGTGCGTGCAATAAGAGTAAGAGTAAGGAGAGTGCGGTGCGCACAATCGACAGAAAGGCAGACAGGAAGAGGGAGAGAAAGGTGAGGAGAGAGCGAGCGCGAACTATAGGAGAGCAGGCGGCGGGCGGCAGGACGGCCAATCGCAGCTGGAACACATCAGTAAATAAGAAGTGACGCGCCGCCAGATCATCGAATTTGGGCGTGCTTATCAGCGACGGTGGTGGCGGAGGCGGGGAGTCGCATGTTAACTGATAAATGCTATATTTATGATGCCCGATGCTTAATCTCTCTTTTCGAAAGCAACACGTCCGCTCAGAGAAAAGGAATTTTTAGCGGCAAAGGCTGGACCCGCATGGCAACGCTATGGGAAAAATGCAGCTAGTTGCCACCAATACACAGGCACCACGCACACACACGCACAAATCAACGGACAACCGTTAAAGATGACACGCACACGTACACGGCGTTAACGCACTTTGCACTTTGCAACAACACGATAATTAAGGTGCGGACCATTAATTTATGCGCACTTGCACAATGGGGAAAAAGACCAGCGGTCTAATAGCGAAGGGAGAAATTTCGTTGAGGAACGCCGGCAAGCAGTTCTCTCTCTTTCTGGCAGCGACGTCGCGTTGGCAGCAGCGTCCCTCGAAACTTTCGACTCGCCAAATGCCTATTTTTCTGGAGCTTCAACCTGAGGGGGACTTTAATTATCTAGCAGCAACTTAATTAGCCCGCTTCATTCTTTTTAGCACTGATTTGCAGTAATTTTTTCACTTGGAAATGTGAATTCTCAAATTTTATACCTTCGTTTTACTTTTCACGGAAGCAGTGTGACCAGACTGACTAATTAGAAAAATGGTGGTAGCAAGGTAAAAGATGCAACCGGCAATGTGGCCAAAGAGCGCAGAATTTTCTGAGGCTGTAAATACCGTTCCCAATTTCGTAAAACGAAGATTTCACGAATCGTGTTTTCCCTAACAAAATGGCTCAGTTAAAAGGTACAGATTAAATTAAATACCTATTTGACATGTACTCACCAACAAAACCTCTTTTAAACTATCTAAGCTACTGTCTTTTCGTTTGCTTCCCTCCAGCTCTCCATTCAGAGCGTCAATTTCCTGCAGAAAAGTGTGATATGCTGGTGATTTAGCCAACTCCTTGGTAGTAGTGGTCCAGTTGTCGTCTGAAATTGTTTTAATAGTTCATATTTATCTATGTTATCTGTTTTTAAGAGAAATCTCAAAAAGCTATGACTTACCTATAGCTTTCAGTAACAATAAACTGGGCAATGTTTGCTTTTTGTAGTTCATGCGCCACACTTTTAGGCAATCATCACCTCCGCTGCTGAGTAGACAGCTAATACAGCCTTCGATCTCATTGTTCTGCTTGGAGCTAGCGCTGATATCGCGAAATAAGGTCAGGAAGATATTGGCATGCTTCACCTGACTCTTGATGTAGGTGCCCTGAAAATTTGAAATCTACTTAAGACGTCGCAATTTCCCAATGTTATTTCGTGATTTACCAACAGAAGCCTTGCACTCCTCTTCAGACTTTGCTGTAGCTCCTTGGGAAGATTCATGTACTGAGCATTGAGAGCATTGTACGTGGCAAAGAACTCCTGCTGGTTGAGAAGCAGCGGATCAGCAGACTTCCTCGCCGCTTCCGCATTGAGCACCCGCTCCATGTAGTCGACAACAAACTTGGTATACTGTTTCAGCTCCAGGTTGGGCAGCATTAGGTTCTGCCAGACCCGGACACCCTCGTTCAGCGACTTGAAGCCGCCCTGCCCGATGGCCCACAGGATGCTCAGGCAAATATTGCTCCTGTTCTGGTAGGAGTTGCGCAGCAGCGCTGTCTTGGCCAGATTCCTGGAGCAGATGGTCGGCCAATTCTGTCCAATCAATTGAAGGATTAGCTTATAACCGGCCACCGTCTGGTTGTTATTCAGATCCGTGGCCATGCTATCCAGCAGGGAGTAGAAAAAGTACTCCAGGTTCTGCTCGCCCACGCTGCCCAGAAACTTGACAACTTCAGTCTTGAGGTCACCGCTGGCCAGATTGCTGGGATACTGAGCCGAGCGGCCAGAAAAGATGGGATCGCAGTCGTAGGCCAAGGCGCCATTGAAGTATAGAGCAACCTACAGGAGGAGAATTTCAGTTCAGTGATCGGGATTAGTGGGGATAGCCTGCCGAAGGACCTACATGACTCAGCCAGCGCAGCTCGGAGCCGGGACAACTCAGCTTCACCTGCTCCACTTGGGCAGCAAAGCCATCAGGAGTTATTTGCTTCAGAGCCAGCTCCAGAGTTTTTGGCTTTGCAGCAGACGTCGACGTGGCCTTTTTCGCAGGTGGAACTGATGCATTTTTTGCGGTATTCTTCTTCGCCGGCGACTTATTATTTTTCGATGAGGATGAGGCACTTGAGTTGGATTTAGCAGGCGAATGGGACTTATTGTTGTTGTTGTTGGTGGCAAACCGGTGAGTGGTGGGCACTGGGGAAAGAGGAGGCGGGTTGGATTAGATATAATCCGCTCAGCAGTTGCATGCAACGCACAAACACTTACACAGCTCCTCCAATTTCGGTAGCTGGGCTGCAATCCGCTTCTGTTCCGTGTGGGCAATCACCTTCTTGTCCAGATTCTTCTGTTTGCGCGACTTGGTGACCACCTCCCATTGTTCCGACATATTCAGTGCTTCTGGGTTGCTGGTTTGAGCTAAATTAAATTAAATTAAATTAGCGTAAATGCAGGCAGCCGGCAGAATGAAAAAAGCAACAAGCGGTGAGTAAGTGTGGCCAGGCTATTTTTAAAAATATATGCGGCTTGTCAGGGCTGCGATAATGTAGCACTGCTTGTTAGGCTTTACTTCTTTTTTTGACGTTTACAGAATAATTCCCTTGGAAAACTAGACCATAAAAGTTGCTTTAAATAGATTTATGTAGCTGAAATTTCGGAGAATTGTGAAAAACTTCCATAGTTTTATTTCCTGCCGGAATGATGCCACCAAAGGCGTTTTAGCATTATCAGGAGTAAAGAAATTGGTCACACTGACGCCGACCAAAACAAAAATTAAGATATTTGATAAATATTTATAAATTACAAGGCAATGGCTGCCTCACGCTCTCGCCGCAACAATGCGGGCAACAAAATAGCCTCTTTATTGGACGAAGAGGAAGACGACTTTTACAAAACATCCTATGGAGGATTTCAGGACGAGGAAGAAGACAAGGAATACGAGTGGGTGTTGTGGGAATATAAACAATATTATTATTATAACCATCTAAAATACCTGCCCCAGACAAAAGGATGAGGAGGAGGATGTGGTGGACTCGGACTTCAGTATCGATGAGCAGGACGAGCCCGTTTCTGACCAGGAAGAGGCACCCGACAAAAAGCGTAAACGCGGCGGCGTAAATACCAAGGCCTACAAGGTGCGACTCAAAGATGGATGCCCCGACAAGATGATTTATTACCATTTTATCTGCAGGAAACCAAACCGGCTGCCAAAAAAGAGACCAAGTCCGTGCCGGCTTTGCACAAAAAACGCGGTGGTGGTGGCGTCTCAAAGCGCCGGGTACGTCCTCGCTTCACAGTCATTGATTCCGGCCGCAAATCTATTCGCACCTCGACGGCCATTAAGACGCAGGCAACGAAAATCCGCCTGAAGGAGCTGGACGATGCCCGCAAGCGAAAGAAGAAGAAGGTGCGCGTGGAGGACTATATGCCCACGCAGGAAGAGCTCTTGGAGGAGGCAAAAATAACGGAAGAGGAGAACATCAAATCTCTGGGTAGGTATCCAAGTCAAAGCAAAATCAACTGATAACCATTTACGACGACCATTTGCAGAGAAATTTCAAAAAATGGAACTGGAAAAGAAGAAAACGCGTCCCACCAAACGCACCTTCACAGGGCCAACCATACGTTATCATTCGCTGACCATGCCTGCCATGCGGAAGCCCACGCGCGCTAGCCTTCTGCCCAGCGATTCGAAAGATCTTGCCGGAAAGTGCGAGCGCACATTCGTGACGGTGGAGAACGATTTCAATGACAAGGTGTTCCAGAACATCTTCCGCCCCAAACCGCTGCCGAAACCTAGTAATGGCATCTGTCCCATTACTCGACTGCCGGCCCGCTATTTTGATCCTGTCACCCAGCAGCCGTACTACAGCATCCAGGCCTTTAAGATACTGCGCGAGGCGTACTACATGCAGCTGGAGCAGCAGGGAACCGACAGCGGAAACAGCAGTGAACAGCCAGAGTTGGTCAAGTGGCTGGAATGGCGCAAGCTGGTCAAGGAGAATCGCGTCAAGGCGGCGACAGCAGTTGTCAGCAAAAATGGAGACAACTAACAGCTGGTAACTCTTTCTATTAGTTCTTAAAATTAATTATGTAGAATAAAGTAAATTTAATACATCCGAAAATATTATCAGGGGAGACTTTTATTATATACAATGACTTAATCAGTTGAATGTCAAGGTTCACAGACTCCCAAATAAACATAATGGCACATATGGTATTTCCCATATTATTTATAATCTAGCCGCAGACTGTTTTCATTTTGGAACTGCGTGAGCCTAAGTATAATAAATAGAACTGATAGGAGTACTCAGGTATAAGCAGCATCCGGTTTATTGACTTTGCCAGAATATGATAATAGTGTTTACCTTATGAAAGTTAAGATTTTTGTATACTTAAGTAGGTTTCGCTTAAAATACACAACTTTTCTTAGAAAGTAAGTTTAAAAATCGGAAACTTTATTTCTTGAACTTGTATATATAGTTCTATTAAGTAATTCCAAAGCAGAGGAAATGCGAATGTTTTGACTCGTAATACACTACTGGCCGAAATAATAAGTACATGCGTATGTGGTTTGTTTCAAGACCTATAAAATTTGTTTGATAAACTTAAGAAAAAAACCCACTTTATTTTTAGTTTCCGTACTTATTCCAGATAATAAAAATAACTGCCTAAAGGATTTTACATTTCAAATTTAGAGACAGGGGTCAATATTATCCAAAAAGCATGAAAATGGGCTGGCCGAAATAATAAGTACACCCATTCTTCTAAGTCTAGAACTCGGAACGTATTAAATATTTTACACTTCTTTCTACTTATAAGTAAACTTAGATTAGTATCCAATAAAACCACACTCGTTTTAGGTAACTTTCGCTATTATTTTTGGCATTCTAGTAGGAAGTCTGTGGCAAGTCAGTACTAGAAGCTGAGACCAGGTTTCTTTAGCAAATCTTCACAAATCTTCAACATTTTAAAATGTTTTGATTACAATTCGACGTTTTAAGTTTCCCCACAATGTTTAGTTTAGGTTTATGACAGGAGACTGACTTGACCATCTCATAACAGTTACCTCTCTCTTGCCAAAAAGGACCTGTTTGGTCATCCAAGGCCATTTCCGGCGAAATTGACATTTAAATTTGAGCTCGAACAGTTTGTCGTAGACTGCATGAGACAGGATTACAAGGACGTACACCCAAAAGGTTCTATTACTTCAAGGAAAATTTTTTCAGATGAAGCAAAAGCTTTGCAACATTTTTTTGGTATGGTCTGAACCGGAGGTGGAAACAAAATACTTTGGGGCAATGAAACAAAAATATTTCTTTTTGAAAACGATTCTAGACGGTTTGTACGTCAAACGAAAGTAAAAAAATTCAGCTTTGAAACGCGAAAATAAAAGTTAAGCCCGGAGACAGATGTATAAAGGTCAGGGGCTGTTTTTCCTGGCATGGCGTTGTGCAAATACATCTCATAAATGGTATTACGACCGAAATCGAAAATAAAACTTTTTTAACTGGCATCTTCTAACCATATGCTTAGGGAAACATGCCCTTCCGATAGATTTTTCAACGAGATAACGATCCAAAGTAAACCTTAAAAGTCATCATGGCCTGGTTTAGGGACAAAAAAGTAACCGTCATGGGTTGGAAAAGTCAGTTTCCGAACTCATACCTAATTAAAAATTTATGGGGAAACTTAAAACGTCGAATTGTAATCAAAACATTTTAAAATGTTGAAGATTTGTGAAGATTTGCTAAAGAAACCTGGTCTCAGCTTCTAGTACTGACTTGCCACAGACTTCCTACTAGAATGCCAAAAATTATAGCGAAAGTTACCTAAAACGAGTGTGGTTTTATTGGATACTAATCTAAGTTTACTTATAAGTAGAAAGAAGTGAAGTTCTAGACTTAGAAGAATGGGTGTACTTATTATTTCGGCCAGCCCATTTTCATGCTTTTTGGATAAAATTGACCCCTGTCTCTAAATTTGAAATGTAAAATCCTTTAGGCAGTTATTTTTATTATCTGGAATAAGTACGGAAACTAAAAATAAAGTGGGTTTTTTTCTTAAGTTTATCAAACAAATTTTATAGGACTTGAAACAAACCACATACGCATGTACTTATTATTTCGGCCAGTAGTGTATATACTAAAGTATTTTCACAATTTTAGAATTTAAATTTAAAATTTATTTACTTATTTATTTTCTTTGAATTTTATTAATAATTGAATTCAAGACAAAAAACACAGCATATTCTTGGCAAAGATATAAACCTAAGTTTCTAGATATAGCTTCAGGATATAAACTTACCAAAAGATCTCCAAATTCCGTTTGCTTTTAAATAAGTTATTTTTACTTAAAAAAAATCTTTAAAATATATTAAACTTACAGGGAATTAAACTAGTAAACCCGACCGGCTCTCTGCTTTCTATATTTTGTCTTATCAACAAAAGCCCACGCGCTGTCTATTTAATTTGTCTTGATGGACGTTAAGGTACATATTTTCGTTCTCAACAATTTAGTCGAGCCCGTGAGCTCAAATTAAACGAACGTTTTGCGTCACAATGAAGCACTTGACTGTGTTGAGCATCCTTCTGGTACTGGGAGGAGTCCTGGCGGACAGTGATAGCAGTAGCGACAGTAGCAGCGGAGAACATAAAAGCAAGAACACTGTCACGGAGCACAAGTACAATTATCCAGCCTATCCCACTGCCTATGGTTATAACTATATGCAGCCATATTACCCCTACAATCAGCTGATGCCGCAGCAGTATCCAAACCAGGCACCGTATGGGTATCCCCCGTATCTTTACAATCCTTACATGCAGGCGCCACCCTATCCCTATCCACCACCACCGAATCCCAACTGGAACCCCAACTCACCTCCTAATCAGCAGCCGCCACAACAACCTACGTCCGGTCCTGGTCTTCCCACCCCCTACCCTCAGCAAGGAGGCTCCAGCGTGATTAATCACTCCCTTAAAGTCAACAAGGAATACAACGAAGATGGACACCACTCATCGCCGTAGATAACGAATTACCACTGATTTTTTATACAATTTAAAAACTGAAATACAAGTTGTTTTATTTACTTTTTGAAAGTATCTTTATAAATCTCTTTTTTGTATAACATTTCTCAAAAATTGTAATTTAGTTAAAATCACAATCAGATCACTTCCTGATTCCCCCGAAGGGGAAAACATTTCGGAATGTTTTCTGGCCATCCGGGGGAAGCATATCACAAGTATAAGTTCTTAGGAGGCACTTGGTTGTGGTTGCGACTGCCGCGGCTGCTCCACTACCGTACCGTGATGGTACAGGTGGACATGGTAAACATAGCTGTTCATGCACTTTTGGATGCTCAGGACAAGCGGCTCGAATGGATGCCAAATGAAGGCGCATAGTTCACGCGGCGCCATCGTCCCGATTTCCCTGCGCGCCTTCGCGAACAGTCGGAACTTGACAGCCTTTGTAGCTTGATCTTTGAAGATAATGGGGTCGGCAGAGCAGGGATTAGGTCGTTCCAGTGGCGACATGTACCGATCGTCATAGCTGAAATCGCTGTACTTCAGGTATGGCGATGGCGACAGGCACTGGGAGCTGACGGGAATGCCTGGGTTGAAGCGCAAGGCCGCATGCCGGACAAAGGGGACCGTGGCATTGGCATCCACAAAGTTTTGCTTGAGAAAGTAGTGTAGCGGCAATGAAGGCGCATCGCCTGTTTGCAGCGATCGCACATTGCTCATCTCGTCGTAGAACAGAAGTATAATTTGTAGCAGATCGACGGAAAAATCCGGATAGACGCCCACTACCTCCTCGGCAGAAATGGTATAGAAAACGTATAAACGTCGTGGTGTCGGAGGAGGCAGGGGCATAACCTCCGCCTCCTTCGGGCGCTCCTCGTAGCGCAGCAGAAGTAGATCTCTGTTTATTAATTGCATTCTCTCCATGATCATGTGCTCGATCTGGAGATGGAAATGGTGCTTAATTATTGAAAATATCTATTGCTTATAAATCTCTTGTTCACTTACGAATTCATAGTTCTTGTAAAACTCCTGCAGCTTTTCTCTCGCCCCGTCCCCGTCCAAATCGATTTGCCGATACAGAAAGCTCAGTACTCGTTGTTTTATATGCGTAATGGGTAAAACCGTAGTCGCATCCAGGTCCTCAACATCCGAGGATGCTCTTTCGATAAAATCCCGCGGGCGGGGCCCAATAGTCTCCTGTTCGCAGAGCTTACCCTTTGAAATCTCGTAGACGTAAATGCACTGATGGAGTCGCGACATGATCGCCACTTTGGATCCAAACACCGAGATTCCGTGATTGTGGGAAACCACAATGGAATCCTGCGGCAGAAAAAGTCTATCGCTGACCACACCCAGTTCCAGGTCCACCACGAAGAACACATACGAAAAGGCGTCCAGTTTGTCGAAGAGATCCGGATAGCGGACATAATCTTCGATGGGCAGTGCACTCCTCAGCACGGACATGGCCGCCAGCAGGACATACTTGCCGTTCTCCAGGAACACGCTAAACTCCCGATGCAGGTAGTAGCGCCCGTTGAGACCCTGGCACAGGCGAAGACTCTTCGCCTCCTTAGGGGCAAACAGGCGTTCGAATATCGTGCTGCTTAGAACGTTGTTATCCTCGCTCTTGTAACACTCCCCAGTGCCCACGTTCGCCTCGCGGATCAGCTCGCCAACAGCCGCCGAACTGAACCCCCTGTACGGGTAGATGTGCAGGCTCCGCTGGTCATGGGAGAAGGCTAGCAGCTGGCTGCCGTCCGGCGTGAACTTGCGCAGGTAGACAGGCGGAATGGCCACGGAGTCAATGGTTAGGCATGGAGTAATTGACTTGTAGAAGCGGCGCTCGTAGGCCAAGCGGGGGATCCTGCTCAGCTGGCTGCCGACACAGGTGTAGCCGGATTCGCGGTTTTGCAACAAATGCACAATGTTCTGCGATTGCAGGCGCTGGTTATAGGACATGGCAGCCAAACATAAAGCAACGTTTATGGGATTAGAAATCTACAGGCCTAAAACTATGTTGACTGATTTGTAACAGTTCTGTCAAAAAAAATAAATAAAAAATAAAACAAATAAATAGAGCTGATATTTTTAGCATCGATATTTATCTGAGGCAGCTGGCCACACTTAAATCGATCACAAATCGCTTTTCAAAGAAAATCAACTTTTCCTGACTCCCATTAATTTTTTGAGGCTTTTAAAAACGGAATTTGGGTGCCCAGGACTGGGGGTCATGGGGAAAATTGCAATTTTTTCGGAAAACTCTAAAGAAAGGCCTGAAACTGTGCTAGTTGACTTAATTATGTTAGTAGTGGAACCACTGTTATAAATACCCAGAGGCGTGCCAAAAGGGGATCTACCTATTTTCGGCCTATAATAAATTAATGATAATTATTACACTTAAAGGGACACTACAACAACTTTTCACTGGATTAGCTTGATTTATTTCTTGATTTTCAAAAAGATTATAACTTGGCAAGGTACTCTGGTGCTGATGCTTTTGCCTGGAATTCCCTATTGGTACACCTATAGTTCTTTGTTTTCAAAACACAAGGACATAGTGATCTTAACCTAAAATCACCTCAGATTTATAATAATTATTTTTTAAAAGTTTTATATAATATTTCGAAATATTAGTGCAATATATAAACTATGTTTATTTTTTCCACGCACTTTTTAGCACTTGAAAACCTTAAGCAATATAAGTTGCAATTTCTTTAAAATTTAAAAGTCAACACTGCGGTTTTCGAATATTTTCGCATTACCACTGCATGATTTCACTTTATTTCGCGTCGAAATGTGTTCTCAGACATACATATACAAATAGACATCTGAAATAAGATTACTCTCCATTCCAAAACCGGCTATTCGGGGCTTAAATTAGACGTTGTATCCAACGATGTGGCGCTTGCCGATGCACTCGCCGATGTAGAACCAGAAGATAACCTCGGCGGTCACCAGGGTGTTAAGCCAGGCCTCGCGAACGGTGAGGTTCTTGTAGGCACCGGTCCGGGCGCCCTTGACGATGTTGCCCAGACCCTGGCGGATAGCCGGAATATCGGCGGGCGTCGGGGGCGTCAGCTCCACCTTGGCGTACTTCAGGAACACATCCAGCTGCGGCCTTGCCTGAGTAAGGAGCCCTGCGGAATTAGATTATTACATAATTCTGTGATTAGTATTCGCAGTGGCGGAACGTGAAATCCTCTGCCCACAGCGGGCAGAACTTACTGTTTACAAGTCCTGATCCTTTGGTAGCCAAACTCGCCATTTTTTCGATTGGGTTTCTGTAGTATGCGTTGGAATTATACAAGACGAAAATTTGGCAAAATGCGTGAAAACCTTACCTATAGTGTGACCGTGTCGATAACGATAAAAGAATACATCAAAACGGCAATTGTGACACACAAGCTGTTATACGAAAACGGTATAAACTGTCATAAATTGGGAATTATAGTATTCTGAAAATACTACAAAAAATACAAAACCTTTTAAACCAATAGTTTACATCTAGAATTTAATGTTTTATTATTTATTACAATTTATAATGAATACTGTTCTTATTGAGATGCAAAATGAGTTTTAATGAACTGCTTTCTATTGTTGTCTTCTCCGGATTTGGATACATTAGTCATGGCATTGAAGAAAGTAGATTTATAAGGTGAAACATGCAGTTCCGAATCTGAAGTAAAGGATAAATAATAAATGAAGTACTGTTATCAGGATGTGCCTTACCTATGCTGGGATCTGCCCATTCCATTGCCATATTATGCAAAATAGACAGCGCTGTGATAGTTTGCTTGGCCGATGATTGAGATCCTAGAATTTCAGTGCCCAGAACACCAAAGCGACTCATCAAGAGGCTTAGACATTTCCTGGCCGACGCATACGTGGTGGAGTGGGCATGATTATAGAGCTCCTCGGATTGATTTCTCGGAAAACGCACTGGCGTGTAGAGTGAGGAAGAACAACGAACTATTTCGCTGCCCAGCAGGATTCGACCGCGAAACTCATTCTGTTCGAACCGATCCCTGATTTTAGACAAAGCAAACATCTCAGCGTCTGAGGCCATTGAGTGTTCGTCAATCAGGCGAATATCCAGGTCCCTTATCTTATGGGCGGCATCGCAGACAATTTGCAAATGCAGCTCTTCGTTCGATTGAGCTGGATACGTTGATTCGCCATCAGGATCATCTTCGCTGAGATAAGAGCCAGAGTTTTCGGGTAGAAATCTCACAGTGGTCTGCAATAGTGCCCCAATAACCTGTGGCATATTGGCAATGGCTTGGAATGAACACATTATTCGCTCTTTTTCGGAAAGAGTCGCCGGCATTCTAATATATCGCGACGCTTTTGAAGCTAAAACTGAAGCAACCCGACGAGTGATTTTTGCCAAAGTTCGTAAACTTACGCCATGCGCCATTGCAGTCAATTTAGGGTGCTAAAATGGAAAAGTAAAATCACGCTTATCAACGGACAATTTCAAAACGAGTAACTTTTCCCGCCCCTGTTATACATACATTCCCATACTCCTTACCTCTGTTCCACCCCACAGGCGGATGGCTGATAAAATTTGCAAGTCTATGGGAACTTGCTCCCTTTTCAATGGTTCATAATATTCGATTTCGAGATCATCTCGCACTATTTCTATAATTCGTCGAAGACTTTCCTTACTGAACCGATACTTTATACGGAACTGATTTTCATTAAGATCATTCAGTGGATTGAACCGGACCAGCTTCCTCTTCAGCGGTATTCTCCTTTTTTGACCATTGTCTCTGGGATCAAGAAATCCCTGAAAGTCTTTAAAATATTCAAAGTCTTTTAGGCAGCGTTCAAAAGTTTGTATATCTTTCATCTTCACTTTTGTTTATAATGAATTGGTGTAACAGTAGCGCAATATTGAGAAAAATACCAAAATTTAAGACATTTCTATGCGTTGCAACAATTGTACTTTTAGTATATAAAAACGGCGACTATTGCTCGATGTGCCTAATCCGAAAATATTTTTGGGAGTAATACTGCATTGTTTAACTATCAATTTTTCAATCGAACAAATATAACAAGTTGTAAGCAAAATTAACCCAAAATTCGGACCATTTTTCGTACTCATAAAATACTACCTCACACTTATTGTACAACGCCACGATATATTATATACATTTTTGACGCCATCTTTGAGCTTTCAATTTTTACGGCATATTCCAACAGTGTCACAGCGGTCACTCTGTTTTTTGAGCTTGATCCCGCCATTTGTTCTCTCGTAGCGTCAGTCGCGAAAAGTGCAGTGCAGTGATTGAAAATTGAAAAATTAAAAGTAAAATGGAGGATCAAGATCGTGGACGCAGGCGTCCATACGCCGATGAGGACCCTTCCTCATCTCCTGAACAGCAACCAGTAAGTACTTAAATCTTTCGATTCGCTTTATCAACTTACTCCATTATTAAATGGTCCGAATTTTCTAAAAAGGGAGTCTTATTCCAGTCCATGCCATTGTTAAATTCATTAACAATGCTCAATATCTTTTTAAAAATAGTTCCTAGAATTCAACCAGAAACAAATTATTCTCCTCATCTCTTTTCCGCTGTATTCGTAAGGAATGATGTACGACAGCGACAGAAATGTACATACATATGTATGTACATCAAAAACCGTTCGCAAAGCAAACACACAACTTTGTCTCTGTGTTCAGCGGAATTGCTAATGTACAAGAAGCACGGAAAAAATTGCTTGCGCACTAGAAATCTGATCTGTTTTTATGCTGGCTTTTTTGTCCACATTAAAAACGACTTTGTTTGATATTTCTCTTTCATGGATGAAGCGTCTTTCCAGCCAAAAAAAAATATATATGAATTACTCATTTTCATGCATGTATGTATGTACGTATACGAATCCGTTTGTTTATTTGATGATTTGGAATTTTAGTGTCACAAAACGGACTAGACAGAAAAAAAAAAATGCGCGTCAATTCACGCACATACAAGCGCATTTGGATTTTGAGTGTATGAGTGAAAGGCAACATAACGGAAATTCTTGGAAGAGCAAACTCGCAAAAGACGACTGTATGCTTTCCAACATATGAATTCATGAATTGTTGATGTAATGCTGATGAATTGTCAACGAATATTTGAAATTCGAAAATATATTCATAAAATTTTATTAATATTACGTATTCCTACTAATTCTATACCAAAACTAAAACAAATACATATAAACAATTAACATTAAACATAAGGCTCTTTCTCAGTATCTTCTCTGGAGGCTCAGTTTAATCCACTTGAACAATTGCATATACAGAAAAAATAATAATTAATCAAGGGAAAAAAATAATTAAATTAAATAAAAATGACCCAAATGAGCCTCGTTTCAATATATTGGCCATTACTGCAGTCTGGAAAGAAAAAATATAATTATATGTATACATACATACATACATATGTATGTATGCACATATATTATATTATTATATTATAAATAATATAACATATACATATGTATATAGGCCCTTATTTAATTAGGAAAAATATTTTTACTCGTCTTATTTTATATTCAATTAATAATAATTTGATTTACTAATTTTATTACCACAACACTTCTGGAGAGCACTTCTAATGCAAATGGAATAAGGAGAAGCAAGATGAAACCGAAAACCGAAGATCGAACATTTTTTTCTCCCTTCCTTTGCTCTATCACCATCTCTCTCTAATTTGCGGGACTATTGCGTGCCTCCGAAAATATGGAGTCGAAGCTTCGAGAATCAACGCCAGTTGCATATCCTACTTTGTTTCGGACTTCAATAAACGAAGCCCATGCAAATTGTTTTTGTTTTGGTTTTTTTTTTTACATGCACCGACGAATCGGACATGCGAAAGAGTGTGAAAGAAACAACTAAGAACTACTTGGTAGTTTTAGCGAATGTAAAACTGTAACTGTCAAACTGTAAGCATAGGTAAAATATAATGAAACTCGGTTTTGTGTGTGTTTTCAACATTTAAATTTATAATATGTATATGTAAATATCAAAACCAATCTGCAAGGGTATAAAAACTTCGGTGTGCCGAAGTTAGCTTCGTTTCTTGTTTTTTTTCTATAAAATTTGTGTAGTATAGCAGCGAGTGTATTCAGAAGACGACATGCAAAGTTTCATTCAGATAGCTTTAAAACTGCTGTTTATACTTTATAAGGTCGGAAAAGTCTCCTTCACTGAGTTGCAAACTTCTGACTGAAATTTTAATACCCTTTTTATACCATTAAAAAGGTCACTAAAACGTAAAAATAACGTTAATAGTGCGAAACTGTTTCCACCTCATAACTGAACAATAAAATTCTAAAAATGAATTAAACTTTTTCTTATAATTAAAAATGTGAGTATGTTAACTATTTCAAAATTGCTTGGGCTGCCGGGGCTATTATTATATTTTTTTGGTTCGCATCCTCCCTCTCCTCATTGTACAACTTACTTATGTATTTGAACTCGGATTTCTTGCAGAGATCAAAAATATTTAAAGGGCCATCAGGTGGTACGGCTTCTGATGCCTGTGCCAGTTCTTCGGGATCTGATCAGCCCTCGGCTGCCAGACAAGAAAGACGAGAGGGCGAAAGTGGAGCCGACCGACGTCCACGAGGCGATCGGTTTGATTTTGTGAACACTCGTCCGGCTGACATATTAAGCAAGAAGGGGACAGATGGACAGCAGATAAGCTTGCAATCAAACTTTTTTCGGTTGAAGACGAAGCCGGAGTGGCGTATTGTCCACTACCATGTACAGTTCGAGCCGAGCATTGAGAATCCACGCGTCCGAATGGGAATACTTTCGGATCACTCTAAAGTCCTGGGATCGGGCTATCTATTCGACGGGATGCAATTGTTTACAATCCGTAAATTAGAGAAGGATGTATCAGTTCTGCGGGGAAAATCAAAGTTGAATATTGATTATACCATAACGGTCAAGTTTGTGGGATTTATTTCAACAGTCGAGCCTCGATTTTTGCAAGTCCTTAACTTGATTTTGCGCCGATCCATGAAGGGTCTTAAACTGGAATTGGTTGGGCGAAATCTCTTTGATCCCCATGCAAAGGTAAGCGAAATAAGAAACTTGTATTTTTTGAACAACTCACACGACACCGCAATTCATTAATAGATCCCTATTCGAGAGTTTCAAATGGAACTCTGGCCGGGCTATAACACCTCGATCCGGCAACATGAGCAAGAGATTTTATTATGCACGGAAATAACGCACAAAGTTATGAGAACAGAGACAGTCTATGACATATTGCGACGCTGTTCGCAAAATCCATCCCGCCACCAGGATGAATTTCGTATGAATGTGTTGGACCTGGTGGTACTTACGGATTACAACAACAAAACTTACCGCATTAATGATGTGGACTTTGGTCAAACACCAAGGTCAACGTTTGATTGCAAGGGAAAAAGTGTTAGTTTCGTGGAGTACTATCTGGCTGTAAGTCTATATTCATTTTATTTTATTATATTGACATTAACTAAGATTTCTTTTATAGAAATACAACATACGAATCCGCGATCAAAATCAACCTTTGCTTATATCAAAGAATAGGGACAAGGCCCAGAAAACTAATGCTAGTGATGTGGTAGTCCTTATTCCTGAGCTCTGCCGAGTGACTGGCCTCACCGATAATATGCGTTCGAACTTCCAGTAAGATCGGCAGCTATAGCTTTTATATATTTATTTATTTTATCTCTTTTAAACAGACTAATGCGTGCCATGTCTGAGCATACTCGTATGAACCCAGATCGCCGCATCGACCGCCTGCGGAGATTTAACCATCGTTTGCAAACAACAACCGAGAGTGTAAAGGTACTCAAGGATTGGAATATGGATCTTGAGCAAAATTTAACTGAGCTCAAAGGCCGCGTACTTTCGGTTCAGAAAATTGTATTCCAAGCCGGAAAGTAAGTTTTAATAAGTAACTACGCCATGTTGTTTTTTGTTTTTAATATATGTATATACTTAAAATAACAGATCTAGTGCTGGCGATAATGCCGACTGGACACGATCCTTCCGCGACAATCATTTGTTTACCACTCCCCGAGAGGGCCTTGATCGCTGGGTAATTATTGTCCCCGATCGGATGTCGTACGATTCCAGAACTTTGTTGGAAAATTTGATGAGGGCCGCAAATGGAATGGGCTTTCAAATTAGAAGACCCGAAGAGTAAGGATATTATTTATGAATTATTTAAGTGAATCAATTAATCTGGACAACATTTACTTGCAGAATGAAGATCTATGATGACCGCACTCCCTCCTATATACGAGCTATGGATGACTGTGCTCGCATGGATCCCAAACTGATCTTATGCCTGGTTCCTAATAACAACGCTGAAAGGTATTTTATTTATTATATATATTATTATTTAAGGGGTTAATTTTGTGAAAATTGCTCAAATGCTCATTTCAGATACTCGGCAATCAAGAAGAGGGGCTACGTTGACAGGGCCGTGCCGACTCAAGTTGTCACGGCCAAGTCGGTCAAGAACCGTGGCCTCATGAGCATTGCCACGAAGATTGCCATTCAGCTGAATTGCAAACTAGGCTACACCCCTTGGATGATCGAAGTGCCTACAAAGGGGCTGATGACCATTGGCTTTGACATTGCCAAGAGCACGCGTGACCGGAAGAAGGCTTACGGGGCCCTAGTGGCCTCTATGGATCTGACAAGGAATTCAACGTACTTCAGCACTGTGGCGGAATGCAGTGCTTACGACGTTCTGTCTAATACTCTTTGGCCAATGATGGCAAAGGCCCTCAAACAGTATCAGCTGGAACATCAGAGTTTACCTATTCGCATCCTTTTCTATCGGGACGGTGTGAGCTCTGGCTCCCTGAAGCAGCTGTTTGAGTACGAAGTGAAGGACATTGTGAAGAACTTAGATGAGCAGTACAAGAACGCTAATGCGGATCCCCCTAGCTTTGCTTACGTAGTAGTCACCAGATCAATGAACGTGCGCTTCTTTCACAATGGAAGGCAGAATCCGCCACCAGGAACGGTTGTTGATGATGTGGTCACTCTGCCCGAGAGATATGATTTTTATTTGGTATCACAGAAGGTGAACCAGGGCTCAGTATCGCCGACCAGCTACAATGTGCTTTATAGCAACATTCGGTTCAGTCCGGACCAAATCCAGAGGATTACATATAAAATGTGTCATTTGTACTACAACTGGTCAGGAACCACGCGTGTGCCCGCAGTTTGCCAGTATGCAAAAAAATTGGCTACCCTTGTCGGCACTAACTTACATGCCATTCCTCAGAATGCTTTGGAGAAAAAGTTCTATTATCTATAAATAGAACCAGACGATGATGATCTGCAGTAAGCCTACACGAATGTGTGTAGCTTTTATAATTTCCTTACCATTATTAAATTTATTCCTACTTACCTTTTTTCATGAGTTTACTTTTGCTACTTAATTGGACTACGAATAAGTTTGAAAACAATCCTCTGCACTATTTGTTTTTTGAAATTCGGAATATAATTACTTTATTATTTATATTTAATATATATATATTACTTTATATAAAGAAATACATACACATACGCTCACTTGCTTATATACGTGAATCGTGTTATTAATTACAGGTATTTAGCTTTCACAAGGTTAATACAAATTCAAAGCTTGTTGTTTTTGAGTATATTGAAATATGCTACGGTTTTCGATAGTTTTTTTTTGTTTAATGTAAGCTACAATATATTTACAAAATTCTAAAGTTTCGTTTTGGATAAATGTTTAATGGATATTTAATCGTATCGATTGCAAGTTGGGGGTGTCGGATTTTTGAGTTCAGTGATAATATCGATTATTCATATAATTTAATATCCAAACACCGAGACTACTATGATACAGAAGCCCATCATTATAACTACTTAGAACTTCAATTTCAAATGCGTTCACTATATAGTAGCGATTACTGTAACGATAATTACACGCTGGTGTGTATATATATACAATTGTTTTAATGTTTTGATTTTAGATATTAGATTAGGATTAGGTGTAGCTGTGTTTATATGGTATAAAGGGTGGTGGTGTAGAAAAGCTTTGGTGCTTTTGTGTGTAATCCAATTCTGTTTATACCACGCCTGGGGCTTAGACCGTATCGTATGGATTAATTCTCTTTGGAATTACTTTTTCTTTTTATTTTTCAATATCATGTCCGGCTTCAGCGAATTCATCAGGGATCAAGCCGATGTCTCGTTTGGCTCCATCCAGCCCTCGCTGTCGTCTTCGCTATCTGAATCCTCGGACTCGGATAGCTCAATTGCCACACGTCTGGCCAAGATTGAGGCCACATCCAATGGAGCAGCATTGCGTTCAAACTCCTTTTGTTCCGACTTTTCTACCTTTCGTAGGGTAATGCCTAGAAAAAATAAAGTGAGAAGTTAGCATAGTGGACATTGGGGGAGAGCAATAGAACTGGAAATAAAATCGCTTCTATAATCGGTAAATCGATTTCTTTTTTTAATTTTTAAAATCGATTTAATCGAAAAAAATTCTACTTATTTAATTATAATTTGTGCTCTTTTATGAATAAAAACTTTCGGAATTTGGTATTCCATTGGCTGACCTAGTAAAATAGTTAATTTAATTATATTTCGATATATATCGATAAATAAATTTTCTAGAACAACAAAATTAGAAATCTGTGATGATTATAAATATATAATGTTAATTATTTCAATTTTTCATTGAATCAATTTATTTTAAACACTTTCAGAAACATCGATTTATTGCAAAACAATTAATTTCCAGATGCAGAGCACCTAATATTGATATTTTTCGATTTTCAAAGTTGATAGAATATTGAGCGCGATATACACCCCACTTTGTACTTACCATCACGAATGGCCTTCATCAAATCATTGCGTGGATCATGGAATGGTGGCATTATCTTCTTTGCCGCAACAATGTGTGGTGGCACACCATTTTGTTGGCCTGGCATGGGCATTTCGCCGTTGACCAGGGACTTGGGCAGAATTTGGTGTGGCCTCATCGTATGCTGGTTGCCACCGCCGAGACCCATGCCATCCTCTACAGGTGGCGGTGGTGGTGGTGGCGGGGGTGCCGCATTCGGTGGCGACATCTTGGGTGAGTGCTACACAATTTTAAGAATTAAATACACAAAATTCAATTCAAATTCAAAAATTCTGTTAACGAACCTGATCTGGCACTGGTGGCGGCGGCGGCAAGTCGCTAAGAGAGTTCAATTGGTTGCCACCCGACATTCCGATGCTGTTGAATGTGTTGGCCAGCTGCGTCATAACCATGTCCGCATTCTGCATGCTATTCTGTGTCATCTGCGGAGATCCAGCTCCTCCCGATGCATTGATGCTTCCCCGGCCCAGCAGCTTGACCGCCATGTGGCCGCCACTGTTATTGGCTCCGTTCATTACAGACATGGGCGAAATGACGTCCGGAACTGGCGGCGGCGGTGGCAAGGCATCCCGGCTGGTCGACATACTTCGTCCCCGGGTCGGTGTATTGGCATTAGAGGCTGTGGGCGTACCGCCACCGCTGCCATTCGACGGCGGAGCCGGTGGTGGCTGCGAGGGACGCGGTTTATTGCGCGTCGGTGTGCCTCCTGGTCCATAGATGGGTTCCGGTGACATGACGCCCTGGCCGCCTGTTTGTCCGTACAACGCGTGCGACTGATACAGCCCGGTGTCGTACATCTGCTGTTGATGCTGTTGCATGTGCTGCTGCATCTGTTGGCCGCCACCGTTGGGTCCGAACGTGGCGGCATACTGATTGGCCATCTGGGGAGTGAGCTGCTCGTAGGTGCTGCCATCGATCTGCTCGGATGGGTAGGGGCGGTGCAATTCGATCGAGTTTGGTCGCGGCTGGCGAGTTTCGTAGACTCCCATATCTAGAAAACGGATTAGAGAGATGTTAGAACACAGCTTTATAGGGATGTTTTTACAGGACGACACACATCTTATTTGAAATTAAAGACAAAAAAACACGCCAATTATTATTGTGTAATTACACTTGGGGAAAATTAACACATGTAATTACAAGTAATTCAAGAATAGTTCCTGTGCAGATAGCCCTGCATTAATTTTGATACTTGTATGTACATCATATACCGATCGAGGCTTATCTGGCACAGAACACAGGAACACAATTTAGAGAAACCATCAAGAGAACAAGATGTGGCGACAGAAAGAAAATTAGTTAAGCTGCAGAGAGTGACAATGAACGATTGGAAAGACGGAGATACGGAAGGAAATTGACTGAACTACAACAAAACAGAAAGAAAGTTGGTTCTATCCTAAACAAAAACTAACTGCTGCGGATCAATCATCAATCGCGGTTATCAAAGGGTTACCAATTTCTTACATATTCGAAGTTATTAAAAATACTTTCGAATTAATTAAGTTTTGCGATTTCGATTGATTCCGAGGTTTCAACTATTTCTGCCCAAAAACAAAAGGGATTGATTGCTAGTTAAGGTAAGTAGAAGTAGTAGTAATAGTTGTAGGATAGAAGCGTGTGATAGAACACTTATAGTCTCTTTAATGAGCTTGCTTTTTATAGTTGGGTGTGTGGATGTGGATGTCTAACCTGCAATCGCAACGGCGGTTTGCTTTGTGACATTACTGTTATTCTCCAAATGCGATAGCATATTATAAGGCTTTACTGTATCTGTAAATGAGATGATTATGCGTGTTTGATCCAATACATAATTAACAAATTGAATATCGTATCAAAGTACAACGAAAAAAGTAGAACAAAAATTATATAACGAAACGACATGCAAGCAAAGTCCTAAGCGGTGAAAGGTAGTTTTCGCGATTCGAAACATGAAGTTTAAGATATTGACCACAATTTGAAAACCTAACACTAAGGTAAATTCGTATAATTCTGAATAAAGCTAGATATAGGTTAAGGTTTTTCTTGTCACGATCTGGAGAGCTATTGTAACAGCTTCCAATTTAAAAAACGGATATTTAATGTCGTAATGATTGTTTAGAAAGCAGAAGAAGTTACAGCAAAAATTTTTGTGTAAAAGTACACAAAACCAGTATTTCTGCACTTTTAAGTTCAAATATTTTAAACATCTGACGTATATTGAAATTTTCTTAGACCGGAACTTGGTCTTGGTTCTAAAAAGCTGTCGACCTGTGTAGTATACCAAATATTATCGTTTAGTTTCATGAGTTAACATCATTACGCCTTGACTCAAAACAACCTCGAAAAGTTTACAGTTTTTTTGTTTCACTTTTCCCTATTTTATGATGATGTGTGTTAATGCAGCAAACTGCAAACTAGGCGAAATAAAAGATATTAGTGATCATCCGTTTTCTTGGTCTTTAGGGCGAATCCAAAACTAGCGAGTGAGCTACAAAAGGTGAATGCAAATGGCTGAAACATCTGTTATAGTGGGATGTCGGCCGGGCGGGATGGCGTTGAATGAAAGCTACAAGGCCAGGGCCCCATCATCGTACCTACGTCCTGGACATTACCGACAACCTGGTGGTGGTGCAAATCGATGTCAGCCTCGCCCACAGTCTGTATTTTGACTAGCTGAACTACATGGGCAGACAGGACATAATTGATAATTAAACAGATTCCATTCGAAGGCGATGGACAAGTGCAAATATTCAGTGCGTAAAACGAACTTTCCAATATCAACAGCATCAGCATCGGCCCATTATCGAATTTGCTGCGCACTGAGTACTTGGCTCTTGGAGCTCCTTCATCCACAATCCCATTGGTAAGTACTTACTTCCGTAGCCAGCCTCCTCGTTGACCATGGAATTAGGCGTGCGATAGATGACATTGTTGGGCATCAATGTCTCGCCATGTACCAGGGCACGCTGTCGCTGCTGCTCGCGCGTATTGTGCGGCACCCGTATCTTGGTCTTCTGCTTTTTGTTGCCACGTCCGGCGGCTCCACCGGCACCTCCCTCCTGTCGCGGCCTGTTTAGCTTCTTGCCCTTGTCGTGCATCACCCGCTCGGTGTCCTTCAGCATCTCCTGGCGCCACAGCTCGAAGAAGTAATTTGGATCCGTGTAAAATTTGAGCCCGTCCTTGCCATCGTCTCGATAGACATTGAGCTTGTCCAGCGGCGGCGGTTTGTCGCACTGTGCATATGTTTCCATCATGGGTGCCGGCATGGTGGCGCGCGAGAAGATCTGCTGGTCAAATACCTTGGCAGACTTGAAGGCCTTCTTGCGTGTAATATCAGTCAGAGGCACCTCCTCTACTGTACTATCCAGCTGGGTCACCTTGATGGCCAGCCGATCGATGCGCGCCTGTAGCGAGTTGGCCCGATCTCCGATGTTGCCCACATCACGGGCCAGTTCTCCGAATACATCCTCGGCGTGCTTGGACAGCGACGATAGCTGACGGATGATGTTCGTCAATGTGGTGTTGGTCACCGTCTCCAGCTCCACGGACTGCAGTTCATCCTGCTGGTACACGGAGCGGGCCACATGTACGGGCTCAATCGATCGCTTCGGCAGTGGCATAATGGCGAGTAATTGATAGTTACTGTCTCCAACTAAGCAGCACACCCCGGTGAATTAGCGCGTCCTCATTGACTGAAATAAATGAAATAATAAATAAGTATTTGCTTTATATTATAGCGTTTAACTGGGGTCATTTAAAATCAAAGTAAACTGGGCCTTATTTGAAGTTTTATGAGTTTGCCAGTTATGATTCAGATACTCTTCAAAACCCTTTTTTTTATCACTAACTTTTTCTGAAGCTTATGATGATTCACAAGCTTAATGTAAGAAGGTCATGAACTTTATGAAATGCAAAAGGCAGAATATGAAAAAAATATATATTATAATAATAGTATACAAAGCTTTAGAAAATGGAAAAAGCCTTGATAGTAGCTTGAAATGCATTACGTAGACAACAAATTGATGGCTGAAAAAATAATATAAACAAGCTTAATAATCTCCAGTTTATAAATTTGTAAGTACATATGTCACACTTTGCACTAAGCTGAACTTGCTTATATGTATGTACATTCCTATTAGCATTATTTTCTGGCAAATTACATTTTTTCACTCGTGATTTCTGACGGTCAAGATGCTTTATCGTTTGAAAAGTCTTCTGCACAATCGCTCGATTTGTTATTTCAATTTTTTTGCGATATGCACGGCTGATATATTTGACGCCTGGACCAGACCAGACCAGACCACACCCCACGGAAGTGGGTGTTCACTATTGGGTGATAAGAGCGTTACGCCCAAAAATCACCCCCGCCGCAAAGATTACGCCGCCTTCCCGCTGGGATAACGGCGATAGAGCGCAATGACTTTATCCATCGCCTTCCGTTCCGACGCCAGCGACTTTACGTGGTGGCACCTACTTTACGTAGCGGCTGCCTCCTGGCCTCCCACCAACCAACGCAAATTAGATATTCCGTCTGCCGCGACTCGCACTCGCTCACACACACATGCACCCACGTACGCGCACCCAAGTGTGTATGTGGCTGTTGGGGCGACTTTGCGCGATTCTCGCACTTGAACATTTGTGTTAAATCGCAACAATACACATATTTGTGCAGGCAGGCACTTTCTATTCGCACGGCTGCAGAGGCAGAGACCTGACTTCGATTTAAAACACTCTTCTCCCCTGCTCCCACACACACCTCGGACGGCACACACTCACCGCCCGTCACACTTTTCGCTTCACGCCACGCAGCACAACAACAAACATTAAGCAGCCACTTCCGTTTCGGCTGTTCGGTGCTAAATTCGATCCAATGAAAACACTAATTAGCCAATTTGGGACTTGAAAAAGGCAAATATTTGCTCGTTTTGTGGAAACTATGATTTTCCACACCTTTGTTATAGTGGTGGAATTGGAATGCTATCGATAGCGGTGCAATCGCCGCCAATCGATATGTTGGTATATTCCGGTATATTTTTAAAACGATTGGATTTTCTTTTCAGCAACGGTTTAGTGGCGACAACAAGTTGATTTTTCTTCAAAATTCAGTTATATTAATATAAGAAAACCAAATATTCTGAGAGGTGCAGTATTTCAATCGACCCGGGCTATTAAATAAAAAATAACTTTACAATTGATGGAACCCATTTTCCAATCACTATAGACTTTAAATTTAAATTAAATTAACTAATAAAAGTTTAAAATTGCGTTAACTGTTGTAAAAGTATAAAATTTTAAACAGCTACCCGATTGTAATCGATTACTTTAATCAATTTTTGATTGTTCGAAGCATCGATTGAATTCCACCTCTACAGCGGGGGTGCAAATGCACATGTATCAATATAGTAGGCTGTGAAAAGTTTGAGTGAATGGATATTAAAATTATAACCATTCGGCTTGAATATACAAACAAACATACATACTATATTTACAAAAGCCAAATAAATCACTATAGTTAAAATTCTGCATTTGCCGTTAGTTTTATTGTAGGTAAGTTTTCGTCAACCAAAACCACAACCTTCACGCACACTCTGTAACCGAACGGAGGATGCCTCCGCCTCCATTTCCGTCTCCTCTTCTAGTTTGCCTATTTATTTACTTGGCGCAATTTTCGTGCTGGAAATGTAATCACGCCGATGTACTCTAAGGACAAGTGCCAGTGACCTAGATATTTTGGGAGCCCTGCGCCTGATACTCCGACAAGCAACAACAACACCACCGTCGCCGTATCTCTGGCTCGAGCCTTAATCCTCTTACCGACCGACCGAGCGGTGTGCACAACCACACACAAAGTAAAGGTCACAAACCGCGCGAGGCAAGTAAGTTTCTGTACATTTGACCTGGTTTACCGAGTGGCTGCCCTGCGGCGGGAGGGGTGTGTTGACATGCACATGTACATGTTCACCGTTAGGGGGCCGGGGGGCCACATGTGACCTCTTCAGCGATTAATCTGCATCCGCAATCTCTCCTCTCCATTCCATCCCATCGAACGAATCATTAAATAATTGTAGGACTTTTTTGGTGGGTGGTAACCGCGCGAATCGAGCTTATATGTGTGTGTGTGTGACCAGGACTGGACATGCGTAACAACAGTGGCTACAGCCTGGCCAGCAACAGTCTGAATAACAACAACAACAACTGTGCCCCCCAACAAAGCGCAGGATCACCTGCCGCCCGCGGCTTCTCCAATGTGGACAATACAACGCTTTATTACTGCAATTACGACAACTGTAACCTGAACGCCACCTGGAGCCGGAGTCAAAATCAAAATCAGAACCATCCGAACCTACAGCAACCGTCAAAGCGAATTCCCACCAAGCATGCCAGCAGATTTCACTACCAACAATCGGCGGCCAATTCGGCGCCGGACTCTTCGCTCTATGCTGATGCCTTTGCACAGCCATCGCTGATTAACCAGCGGATGATAGCTGGAAACAACAAGAGCTGCGAGTACCTTTACCACAAGAGCCATCGGCGAGCAGAGGAGCAGCAGCAACAGCAGTACAAGCTACTGCGTCCCTATGTCACTGCCGACAAGGAGCAGCAGCAGCGTCAATCCATCGTTTACTTCGATCCGGAGCTTAAGAAACGGAAAGCCCGCTTGCCCGAGTATACGGACAATAGTCCGGATCGATATCGCGCCTCACCAGAGCTGACATGGGATGCCATACTGTAATTTTGCACAATTGCATTTATTGTTACTTGTTGTCCTGCTTGTTGAAAAAACTACATACAGTAACATACAACACCCACACCCACACACACGTATTTGTATGTTTGTTGTGTTAGATATCACACAAAACTCTAGATAACTACCCATATATATTCCCAACAGAGACACTCATTGAACATAGATGTGTGTGTAAAAAATCCCATACTTAGGTCACTTCCTCCCACGAACCTAACCCACCTTCCTTCTGTTTCAGCAGCTCCGAACGTCCAACGCAGTATCACACCCATTATCAGCACTATTTCTCCTACTTTTACAACCGTGGAGGAGGCGAGCAGGAGCTTCTGTCCAATACCTCGTTTGCCTCCAATAATAGCCGCAAACTGCCAATGAGTAAATTTCAAAAGTCAGTCGCTGTAGCCGTCAGTCCTCGTGGAGATGCCAGCACCAATGACACCCTCATTAGTGGTCGCCGGGAGACTTCCGAGGAGCGCAGCTGGCCATCTCTCAAGTATGAAAAACATGTGCTGAAGGAAAAGCTCCCGAACAATGGTTTGGACACAGATTGTGGCTGGGTTGAGGCGGAGGATGATGGCGAGATTTACCGGGAAACCAAAGAAGTCTATGACGCATCTGTGGTAATTGATGGATTCGAACAGATTCATCGTCGCTATTGCCGTATTTCCGAGAATACGGCCATCGAGGATGCTGGAGATTGCTTACTCAATAACAATAATAATGAATTGAAATATGTACGTAAATCGGTGGTGGATCAGCCGGTGCCACGGCTGCCAATGACGCCAAAGAGGGTGAAAGGTGGCGCATCCGTGTCCGTCAAAAAGCCAATGCCCACAGTTCACCGAGTGCTGCTTTACAGCACGCAAAGTCCCAGGATGGGACGCAAGCAGCTAAGCAATCAGCGGAGTCTCAGTCTGAAGCAGCAGCAAGGCAACAACAAGTCGCAGGGCGACGCACACACGGTAATTCTAATGGAGCCGGAAGCCAAGCCAGATGGCCAACGCAGTCCCGATGACTATGATCGCAACGAGGACTTTGATGACGACGATGACCTGGACAATCGTAAGGACTTCAAATGGAAGTTTTAAAGCCAATTTATTATTTTATTTCCCCACTTTACTTAGTTTCGAATTTCGATGAGAGCGACACGGCCAGTGTTCTCTCGGACACCGAGGACGGTTATCGTGCGCATGCCTACAAGCTAACGCATTCCACGGATCGCTTTACATCGCCCCAAAGCACGCCCAGCTATCTGTCTTCCCAGTCTTCCGAGGATGATCTTAAAAATCCCGATTCCCTGCTTGTGCCCAGTCTATTTCCCCACGTGCCGCCCTATCTGTCCTTCTCGTCAAACACCAAAAAGGGCCCGAGAGTGCCGCCAGAGCTTCATCGAGTGCTCAAGTGGCGCATTACAAATATAATGCCCAAGGTGGTGCGCCTTATACTGGCCAACAGCGGCATGAGGATGCTGAAGAGTGAGTTTTTCAGGCCTTCAAAAATATAATTTCTCAATATTCAAACTCATTACAGAAACCAACGACTGGATGGGCGTGTGGGGCAAGCATTTAAAGTCGCCCTGCTTCAAGACCATTCGTTCGTATCAGAAAATCAATCACTTGCCCGGCTCATTTCGCATTGGGCGTAAGGATTCGTGCTGGAAGAATCTGCAGCGGCAGATGGGCAAGCATAGCAACAGGGAGTTTGGCTTTATGCCGCGCACCTACATTATTCCCAATGATCTGGGCGCCTTGAGACGTCACTGGCCAAAGTATGCTCAGCGCAACACCAAGTGGATTATAAAGCCACCGGCCAGCGCTCGTGGAGCGGGCATTCGGGTCATTAATCGATGGGGACAGATCCCTAAACGTAGGCCACTTATTGTCCAGAAGTAAGCTAATTTAAATTCGTTTATTAAGGTTTAAAAATCTTATTTAATGTGCTTGATTTTTAAAGGTATATTGAAAGACCACTTCTGATAAATGGCAGCAAGTTTGATCTGCGGCTGTATGTTCTGGTGACCTCTGTAAATCCTTTGCGGGTGTTTATGTACCACAATGGTCTGGCTCGATTTGCTTCTGGTAATTATTTTCTTAAATTTAATTATTAGAGCTGGAAATTCATTGTTTTTTTACCCACAGTTAAATACAGTGCCAAGACGGACACTTTAAACGATCGTTGCATGCACTTGACCAACTACAGCATCAACAAGTTCTCCTCCAACTATTCAAAGAACGAAGATGTCAATGCCTGCCATGGCCACAAGTGGACCATCAAGTCGCTGTGGCAGTACTTGGCCAATCGTGGTGTTCGCACGGATTGCCTATGGGAGGCCCTGCGCAGCTTGGTTCTTCGAACAATTCTCGCTGGCGAGAATGGCATAAATAGCATGATCCGGGCCAATGTGGAGTCCAAGTACAGTTGCTTTGAGCTTTTTGGCTTTGATGTGATTTTAGACTCAGACCTCGTTCCCTGGCTACTGGAAGTGAATATATCACCGAGCTTACACTCGGAACTGCCACTAGATGCTCATGTCAAGGCGCCGTTGGTGCAAGGCGTTCTCAACACGGCGTTGTACAATGTGAGTGGGATTTAAAAGCCTAGTGAAGAGCTTTGTATAAATATACATTTGTATATATTTATAGGTACCTCCAAAACTATCTATGGATAAGCAAAAAGAACTGGCTGCCGAGTTCTCATTTCCGCCTGGCACACAAATGTGCTATGACAAGCGACTTTATATTAATTATTTATCGCGAGAGGAAAAAGTGAAGCACAATACCTTCACCAGGAAGTCCATGGAAGACAGAAATGAGGTAAGTTATTTGGTTTATTTATTCTTGTATTATATTTTTATATTTCATATAATTTTCATTAGTATGTCAACGAGATCCTGAATAACCTAACCCCTGATGACGTCCGCTGCTTGATCATTGCCGAGGATGAATTGGCGCGTTGTGCGCCACTAGAACGAATTTTTCCAACTGATCAAACCCATAAGTACCTTAAATACAATGACAGTCCAAGGTATTACAATCGCCTGCTGGATGCCTGGGAGTCGCGTTATGCTAACAATCGTACCGAGGGCATCGCGCTATTGCGCGACTATTGTCAAAACAAATATCATCTTCAGGTCCCAACACCGCCGGCCAAAAAGGTGAGATCTATATTCCTAAATGGTGCGAATGCTTTTCACAAGACTCATATAAATTCGAAAACTGAACAATGATTTTGTGTGATAGGTCAGGATGTTGTCATAAGTTTATATTCCCAATTTGGTTGTCTTATTCGTTATGTGTTATCACCAAAAATCAGTTTATTAAGTATTTGATTTTATATTTTAAAACTATTCTATACACAACAAAATATTAACTATAATATGAATAATGTTTAAAGATCAGTTTAACAAAAAATATATTCATTACTCTCGAATTCTGTTAAATTTTGAGGGCTGTTGGAGATTTATACAATCGTTCTTTTGGCGCTGCCGAGCCCTTTGCCATCGTAAGTCTTATCTGTTGACCATTCAGGGTCTGAGTAAAATTCAATTAAATCGAATATTTGTAGATAGAAAATGAAAAACAAAAAAAACATTTAAACAAAAACAGTAAGCTTGTTATAATATATATCGTATTGTCTTTATTTTGAAATATACATATATCCAGGACAACAAAGTGTATTTGTCATCTCTGCCGGTTAACTACTTACCATAACGTAATAAATCTTTTGTTTTCCTTTATACAGTATTTAATGCCTAGGTAATTAATAACGAAGCTTAATTAAACCAAGTTCAAGTTACTTAAACCTAAACCATGTAGAAGGGATGGTCAAATAGTGATGTTCTTAGTTACAAATCGAAAGTGTTTTTTAATAAATGTAATCGAAAGAATTTTAGAACTCTGGAAAGAGATGAAACCAATCATTTGTATTTGCATTTGCATTTGCATTGCCCTCTTGTGTTTTTCGGTTCACTATAATTTCTTTTTATTATGTCTCTGCGTATATGTACATATAAATGAAGTATATTGAAGGTGATCACACTGCATACTCCTTACACCTGAGTCCAGAACACGAATTTCTTGCAACGCCAGGTGGGTGTCTTTTTCTCTGTGAACAGTAACTCTCAGCGCGGCTGTCCCATAACTTTAGCTTTACCAATATGCTCTCAATGCTGGCTTCGAAATCCATTAAAGGACATTTGTATATTTGGAACATTGCCAAAAATTAATGCGCTCAAAGAGATCTCTCCTAATCCATTGCGAAAGTAGTGTATGATTTCGTACTAAAAGTTTCATTTATTCCAATTAGACCGTTTTTAGTGCTTAGGATACCCCCAACCATGCCTTTATTTTGCTTTCATTTAATTTAATACTAAAGCTCATTGAGAAATATTGATCAAAGTTTCATTTTCATTCATGGATTTGCCAAAAAACAAGTGTAAATTACATAATATTGCCTTGATGGACAAGGCACTGATGGAGTTTAAACTTACCACATTTTAAGTAACTCGAAATAGTGTAAAAAAATTACTTTTTCTCTCGATATACAACCCAAAATGTGCTGTTCATTCTTGGGAAACCCGAATAACCTTGGCCTACATCATCAATTTTTTTCATTTTTATTTTAAGCTTAGTCTTTAACAATTCATAGAAAAATCGCGATAGCTTTGAAAACACGGCAACCCTCTGCATTTCATCAGTGAATTTTTTATTCATAATTACCTTAGATAGTCATCAAATTGTAACTATACTTTTTGTACTTATTAAAATATATATTTTAAGTATTTAAGTTACCCCTTCATCCGGATCATTGCAATGCAATCGTTTTATATCTTTGATCAACATACAAATAGCCAATAGATTTTTATTGTCTCAACTTTATATAAAATGCAAATAAAATATCGATTTCGTTTTGGTGTAATTGTAAATTTGCAGGATTACTTCATCAAGTTTATGAGATGGATTTTAAAGTGACAGTCGCTGCCATCGTATTATTGGTAGTCATTATCGTTATTGTTAGTGCAATTACCCTAGTCCTAATTACATATGTATATATTTGATATTTAATATTAATCAATTCAAATGTATTTGTAAATATAGGTTACCGATGCAAAATATTTAAATCAAAATAATGTACTCTGTTGAGTAACATTCGACAAAATTGCTAAATTCGTAACTAAATTGTGATCTGGTTTTTTTTTTGTAATAGATTGGAAGAAAAATAGAATACGTATATATATGTATATTTAATTCATAGATATATTATTATTATGTTGTAATTGAATTATTATAGTGTAAACTGCCAATCATTGAATCCCCAAATGAGGTGATGTTTACAAAACTTGAATTTTAAAGAAAGTTTAATAAACAAAAACAAACGACTTACATTGAAAACGGTCGCCTGATTTAATAAATATATATAAAGATGCAATTATTAAGTTAAAAACACACAGATTACAGGTCGTCTATTAACTTAACTTAAACTTTTAAAAGCTATTGCACAAGTGGACATTTTTTTAAGAGATCAATCCAAGAAGAAATATATTTAGTAAGTCAAGTCTGAACTCATTTAATATATTTTTTGTTTAACTCAAAATAAGCCTTTGGAAAAAAGATAAAACTGAAGAAAATGGGTAAATTACTCTTAGAAAATATGGATGCCAATGAAAATTAATTAATTAAAAAACCAAATTAATTTTTATTGGGAATTCATGTTTATTATTGTGCAACACTTCAGAATATTTAAAATGTTAGACACATACATATTTTTTCGTGTTAAACACACTGACAAAACGGCTTGAATAGCTCTTAGCTAATGGATGGTTAGTTAAAACGTAATATTTTAACTTTAGGATACAATTGATAGGAATTATAACTGTTGTTAGATCTGTTTTTATTCTTTATCATAAATTAAATATGACAAGTGGGTAAGTATTTGTCTGTCTGTCGCTTTGTTAGTCGATTTTGTCGTATTTATTGATTTTGTTTAAATATTAACGTAATGTATTTTTTATTATTTGAATTGGTTGGTTTATAAATAAAATAAATTGTGGAATATTACAGATAATTAATAAAATATTCTTCACACTTTCATAATTACCAATCAATAAATAATTATTTTAATTATTTTTTCAATAAAAATCTCTAATAATAATAATAATAGGCATCCCTATGAGATAATAAATTATTACTTAAATATTCCAGCATGCTGTTTTGTAGGGTATAGGTAATTTTTTTCTTTAAAACTTATTATTATTTTAAGTACTGCATGCAGGATTCCTGGACAGATCTGAGATTCATCTTTATTTTGTAGGATTAAAAAGAATTGGCTCTACCGATTCCCTTTCTTTGTAAATAGCTTTTGATAACATTTAGGAAACCCTTTTTTCTACTTAATATATATTAAAAATAAAGATTTGCATATAGTAAAATTTGAAGCCTTTGCCTTTTAACACAGGACTCGAACGATGAAGAAATCAACCCAACGACGAAACCAGAAACTGTTCAAGATGGCAACAATTCGTAGCATTAGCCACTCCCCAATGTTTTACAATCCATCATATTCATTTAAACAGGTAAGCACTGATAATGTCCGTATAAAATTATACCAACTAAATGAAGTATTCTTCTTTTATTACAGACTTCATACAACATCAGGAAATAGCTTATTTGGAAAACCATCTTCGATTTTTAAATTGAATTTTAGGATGGATTTCGGTGGTCTTCCGTATTTTCGGTACCTAAGAAATTTATATGTAACTCTAGTGTAATTAGAACAAAAAGTTATACAGTGAATTATTAAATTATATGTTATTTGAATGAATTAATACGTTTTATAAATTATAGATTTTTTTCCACTCCCCGAGAAACTCTTAGCAAATACAGCGAAATGGGATAAACTAAAAAAGGTCATTTATTGAAACTTCATTTGAGGAATTACATGTAATGTGTTGGAACATAAAATTGTCAGTTGGCCCTTCAGCCTTGTGATTACATTTTCAATAAATTTAATAGTCAGTTTTTTTTAAAGAAAGTATAGTTGATTATTCAAGCCTGCAGCCGGTGCACGGTTGATGCTCTCCGCTACCAAGAAGGCCAGCTTATGAGCGTATTGGCACACAGCTGGTACGCGGCAAGTGGCGGAGTAATTGTAATACATGTGGGTCATCTTGTAGGACAAAATTTGGAGCTTGTCGGCACTTAAGCCCATATTGTCGTGGATGACATTGTAGTTGGTGGGCGACACCGTTCCCTGTCTCACTGACTGCGAGACCAAGAAGAAATCGTAACGCTCCGGCAGGGTTATAACGTCATCGACCACAGTGCCCGGAACTGGATTACGCTTGTTGGAAAAGTAGCGCGTGTTGATGCGCTTCGCCACCACCATAAAGGCCATGCGACAGCCATCCTGCATGCCAGCCGACTTGTAGATTTCATCCAGCTTTTCCTTTAGAAACTTAACCTCGGCGTTCACCACCTGGTGGAGTTGGCCATCGCCGACGCCGTCGCGGAAGAAGAGAATACGCTCGGGCAGGGTACCGTGATGCTCGCGGTATGCCTTTAGGGCGCACGTCATGGTGATGGACATCTGGTCGGACAACTCCTGACCCTTCATGTGCTCCGTCACGGAGGAGAAGTACCGAGTCGACGTCTTCATGTCCATAGTGGCCACCAGGGCACCAAAAGATTTGTTCTTATTTTTCGGAGAATGACAGACATCAAAGCCTACGGTCATTAGGCCACGAAGCGGTAAATCCACCATCCAGGGTGCGCCCATTAGTTTGGCATTCATTTGTATTACCACCTTTGTGGCGATCGACATCAGGCCAGCTGATTTCTCTGGACGAGGTGCAATGGTCTTAAGAGTAACCACTTGAGACGGAACCGGCCGGTCCACGCAAGCGCGTTTCTTGATGGTGCTATACCTGTTAAATAATAAATAACCATCAAGAAATAATTAGATGCCTTATACTACAGCAAAGTAAACCATACGTACTTTTCCTCATTCGGAGCATTCATGACCACCATAACGATTTGTGGATCCTTGGCCGCTGCATTGTCGATTGCCTGTGAATAGGTTGCGTTTCGATCATCGTTTATCTCGTCACTGAAATAAAATCGCAGGCAAATCAGTTGCAAAATTCACAAAATAAACAAAAAAATTAAACCAATACTTACAACCGCGGATCCAAGATAGTCATCCTCATGCCTTGCGCCACGCGAATGCACATCCTCACAAAGTCCTGCGTTTGGTTGATGCTACGGCGTGGAGTAATCACCAACCACCTCTTGATATCCACGTGAGAGAACATTGATGAGTTTCGGAACTCGTTGGACCAATCTGCGCGGCTGTCGCACAAGTATTTCTTGTTATTTCCGAGCAATATATTCTGCGGTGGCAGAACGCGAGCTGGGATCTCCACCAAGGCCGTGTCGAGCTCAATTTGCCAAGACTTCATCAGTTCCATGCTCTCCTTGGACGATTTCAAGCGCTGATTGAATGTGCGCAAACGTTCGATACGACGATCCGGTGTCAGACGTGTATGCTCGCTCATGGCTTTCATCAATCTGAACAAAAAAAATTACGAAATGTTTTATTAACTTCAAAATGATTATTTTTCAAGCTCACCGAAAGTTAGACCGCATGTTATCCGTCATGCCGGTAGCCCGAGCCAGCTCAGGAATAAGCATTATCAACTTATCTTCGCCACCACGAATGTTCCTCTCGGTGGGCCGCGACACAACCAAAGGCTGCTTCAAATCACGAATTGTGATGTTGTAGCGCTGAAATATTAAACATTTAAATATTATATCAGTTTACGATTATTATATTTGTAAGTCATATTTACCTTCTTATAGTAATCGCAATATGAGATTTCGCCTTCCTTCTGGGCGAATTTCGACAATGGCGAAGAATTAAAATCAATATCGTCAACGCGATAAGTCTTGTTGTTATAGTCGGTTAACACCACCATACCTGAATAAAATAAATATTATAAATACCTATTAAAGAATAGCTGAAGAGAAAGCAGATCTCACAAATAGTTAAATCTTTCTTGTTATTAAAAGAGCGTAAGTAATTAGCTTAACTCAACGCCTTTAATTTTATTCAATGACCGGAATATTAACTCAACTTGAAAAACAACCAAAGATCAACAAGTTTATCGAAATAACCAGGAATCCTTTATTATTTCTAATGGACAAAATAAACTCACCAATTACTTGACGCTTGAAAGCAGTTTGATAATCATCACTGTCGCGAACCACCTCAGATAAAATGTTGTACAAGGTGTCAGTTCTCATCACCTTGTGTGCAATCTCTGCACAAAGCAAAATGTCGCCCTCATGCTGGCGAATCGAAGTCTGATAACCAGGCCAGAGCTCCATGCGGTAGTTCTCTAGATTGATCTTGAAACAACAGAGAAAATAATTGATTATTTAAAACTAGCTAAAGGTGTAAACTTAAATAATGAGAAATTAATAACTTACCTTTGCTTTAGCATCAAAATAATTACGGGACACGAGCTGCAAATTCAAACCCTCCATGGCTCTGCGCAAGATCAGATTTAGCACTTGGAACTGCTGATTGTCAGCAGTCTCGACCGAGCCAACATGTTTAATTTTGATTTGTATATTTTCGCCGGCTCGGCTCTGTGTAACTAGTTCCAAAACATTCGTGCTATTGGGTTTAGCCTTGAAATGATTGCTGGAGAACAAGATTGTCCCATCAAAAATGTAGCCCCCCAAGAGGCTGCGATGTTCATGCAGAAAGGCTCGACGCAGACGCGTGTTGTCCACGTCAGGTGAAAAGTCCACCCTATACTGGTATATTGTCCAGTTGGGACGTTTGACTATTTTGAAATAGTTAGTCTGCACCGTAATCCTTGTTCCAGTCGTTCCACACTTGGTGGCCAGTCCCTGGGGACGGGAATGAACCACATCCGTGATGAGGCGGCGCCCACGTACAGAGCCACGAGGATCGCCTTGTAATTTATAAATTTTAAATTATAAATATAAAACAATGACCTAATTGTAAAGGGATTACATACCTTCGCTGCTTGGAAGCTCAGTTTCTCCAGATCTCAGAGTTTCAAAGCTAGGGTCCAAGTCCTTGACCGGAGCATCACCTCCTCCTGCTCCTCCAGTTGCTCCACCTGAGTGCGACGATTGCGAGGACTGGCCCTGCAAATTGTACAATTAAGGATTTATACACAAACCAAAAATGTTACGCCCTATACACAGAAATGATTACTTTTCACTTTGATTTAATTTAATTTTTAAAATTAATTTGTGAAAATTCTGATTCTTCCTTCTATTTCGCTTGGGTGTTTGCATTTATTGTGGTTATATACGGACGCCATCTTAGTCCGTATACACACACATACATATACCATCAAATTTACCGCTTTTTCGATCTTTTTACGCTTCTTCTATCGCACACACGCATACACTGTTCTTTATGCATCATTTTATTCATAAAGTCTTCAATGAAATATTGCTCAAGAATGAAATAAAAATACATTTCATGAAGAAAATTAATATTATTAATGATGTAATTTAATGTAAAAACACATAGTCGAACCTTAGCCTAAGCTCTTCTGTTGAAAGTACGAAGAGTGAAATTTTTTCTCTGCAAACTTGACACACATACACAGAAGAATTTTATACATATACATACATATGATGTACATATGTATGAATGTATGAAGTTATTGAAGAAAACGCGTGCTATTTCTGTTAGAAAGAGAAGAGCTTTAAAAAAAAAACGCCGACTAAGGTTTGACTGTGTTTGTACATTAAATTACATCATTAATAATAATCACTTTCTTCATGAAATGTATTTCTTTCATTCTTATTGAGCAATATTTCATTGAAGATTTTATGAATAAAATGATGCATAAAGAACAGTGTATGCGTGTGTGTGATAGAAGAAACGTAATAAGATGAAAAAAAGCGGTAAATTTGATGGTATATGTATGTTGTGTGTGTGTGTGTTAAAGGAAAAATTCAAAGAATTCTTGGAAGCGTAATTTTTTCATCATTCTATGCATGTTTCGCTACATTGCTATTAAAAAATGGCCGACCAACTAATACATTTTTTTTTCATCAGGCCATGCATGTTGTGATTTGTCCGTTCCATGCAAATGTTCATTCTGCTAAATTTAAAGGGAAAAATTCAAAGAAAGAAAATTCTTAGACGCGTCATTTTTTCATCAGGCCATGCATGTTTCGCTACATTGCTATTAAAAAATGGAATATTGAATTTTGCCTTTTAAATTTTTCCGTTTAAATTTTGCAGAATGTATGTAGCGAATTATGAACATTTGGATGGGACGGACAAATCAAAACATGAATGGCCTGATGAAAAAATGCACACGCGTTCATAATGACGCTTTTCCGAAATTTTTTTTCTTTGAATTTTGCCTTTTAAATTTTGCAGAATGGTAATTATGTAGCGAATTATGAACATTTGGATGGGACGGACAAATCAAAGCATGCATGGCCTGATGAAAAATGCACGCGCCGTTTCATGACGCTTCTCCGAAATTTTTTTCTTTGAATTTTGCCTTTTAAATTTTGCAGAATGGTAATTATGCAGCGAATTATGAACATTTGGATGGGACGGACAAATCAAAACATGCATGGCCTGATGAAAAATGCACACGCGTTCATAATGACGCTTCTCCGAAATTTTTTTCTTTGAATTTTGCCTTTTAAATTTTGCAGAATGGTAATTATGCAGCGAATTATGAACATTTGGATGGGACGGACAAATCAAAACATGCATGGCCTGATGAAAAATGCACACGCGTTCATAATGACGCTTCTCCGAAATTTTTTTCTTTGAATTTTGCCTTTTAAATTTTGCAGAATGTAGTAGCGAATTATGAACATTTGGATGGGACGGACAAATCAAAACATGAATGGCCTGATGAAAAAATGCACACGCGTTCATAATGAAGCTTTTCCGAAATTTTTTTTCTTTGAATTTTGCCTTTTAAATTTTGCAGAATGTAGTAGCGACTTATGAACATTTGGATGGGACCGACAAATCACAACATGCATGGCCTGATGAAAAATGCATGCGTCGTTTCATGACGCTTCGCCGAAAATTTTTTTCTTTGACTTTGAATTTAATAAAAATGCGGAATTAGACTTACCAGCTGAGGCACAAGCCCGCGATTAGCCTCTGGCACACGCTTAGTTCCGCGTCCTCGCCCACGGGAAATTCCAGTATTCGGCGGCACATTCATTGTTGCTTTAGGTTTTTTTCCTTACACTTCACCTCACTCTCACAAAACTTTTCTATAACCACGTTGAACCGATGCTCGAAGATGAAATGGGCAAAATCAAACGGGACTTTGAAAGCTGGATTATAGCGATGTGAGCAGTGTTGCCAATTTAGCTAAATATAACGATATTTTTTGCCCAAATATCGAAATCGATACTTTTGTTTGATATTTTTCGGTATTTTCTCCTTGGTCACTCTGAATTTCAAAGCAAACTGTTACTTAACATAGAAATGCTCTCGATTACAGAATTTGGCTCGTTAACAGAATTTGCTTATGGAATTCCCAAATTGAGAGCGGCTCTCTGGCTAGCGACAGTGTTGCCAATTTAGCTATTTTCCCACTATATCTGGCGTGTTTCAAAACCTAAATATAACGATACTTTTTGCCCAAATATCGAAATCGCCATATTTTTGTTTGATATTTTCCCCTTGGTCACTCTGAACTTCAAAGTAAAATGTCAAAACAGAGTTTTACATGCTTGGGGTCGAATTCTCGTGTAGAATGTAGAGTGTTCGAGAGCGAACAACATGGACTTCGGCAGCCTTCGGCAGCACCTTCGGCTCCGTTGCAACCGAACCGAGAGAGAATGTGTTCGACGAACGTGTTTGAATGTGCTATCATCAAAATTTGCTGGCTATTTCTAGCTTTTTTCGAAGTTGGGTTTAGCTTTTTCAAGCCCTAAAGAGTTGGCAACTGGCTCGAAGATGAATGAGACAAAATCAAACGGGACCTTTGAAAGCTGGATTATAGCGATGTGAGAAATATATTAAAGATATCGATATATCGATACTTTTCGAATAAAAAATAAATATTTTTTTAATATCGAACCGGGACTTTTGAAAGCGCTTTCCTCCTAAAATATCTCAATAAGTTAAAATTTCCCCCCTAAATTCTAGAAATCAATATTCTTAATTTATATCATTATGAAGTTGTTAAAAAAGCTGTGGGAATAATAATAATGATGTTTCGGATTATCTAGCCACCAGTCCGTTAATTATTATTATTTTTTTTATTTTACAATTTTTGCAAAGTTTTCTTATAATATTTAAAGAATACATGCTTGAAAACTGTTCAGCGATTATCAAAAAAATGCTGTCCCACTTCTTATTTTGCACAATTATTAGGGCTTTTGCACGGCGTAAATTAGTAAATATAAAAAGGATAGCAAATTACTGGCTATTAGTATCAAAATTTAGCCAAAAATAAAGTTAATGCTTGGCCAAAACCAAGATTTAAATAAGATTGTAATCCAAAAAATAAAATAGGTAGTAAATATAATAAGTAATAACTTTAAATCAATTAAATTTATTTACTTATATATATTTTAGCCATTAAGTAGTAGCTCTTGATGCCTTGTAGCAATTGGCATTTATAATCAAAATTACATTTACATTACTCATTAAAATATTGAATTGAAATCACTCACATAAAGAGTTTTAAATTTGAATAACAGCTGATTTGGAAAACCTTTATTTTCAAATACTTAACTATCAAATATTTTTATCAAATCCGTAAATAATAGTTTCTGGAAACCAATTCTGACCCCAAATTTACTTACCAAATTAGTCAGTAAAGAAAAAACGTAATTAAGTTTTAGTTTTTGAGCATCTTGTTCCAAATAAGTCTTATTTATATTACAGGAACCATTTAACTAGGATCGGACGACTTTTTTTTTGTAATATAAACGAATATATACAGCTTTTGAGATGTATGAAAATCTAATGGTTGTCATGAAGATTCTACAGGGATCCAAGGAATGCCAAGTTGGCGTTTTGGAATCGAAGAAAAATCCATTTTGATTTTAAATCAACAACAATAAATGATAGTTCTAAAGAGTTCAAAGATTTAAAATACAAGAAATTAAAACTTTGTACAGTAATCCGTAAAAAAATGTTTAATCAGCGATTTACAGCTTTTTCGTTTTCGGTTCTCGAAGCGTTTTAAACACACACACACACGTTGATTTCTTATTGAAAGTTTCGGCCGTTGGTTTTTATTAACATTTTAGGTAGAAACACAATATAAAAGTCTAAGACTCCACCTTCACAACGGTCGTCTTCTCCGACACGTACAGACCGTCAAGGAATTTACGGATATCCTTATTCTTAACGGTGGTGGACTGCTGGATGAGGGCGGCAGATCCAGAGACCGACTCGATGTCGTTGCCCTCCACGATGAGCTCGTCCTTCTGGGCAGTCGAGTTGACGACGGTGACACCAGGAGCCATCTCCACGCGACGGATGTACTTCTCGCCCAAGAAGTTACGGATCTCAATCACCGTGTTGTTCTCAGAGGTGACGCAGTTGATGGGGAAATGGGCATACACAGCGCGCATCTTGTACTGGAAGCCGAAAGTGACACCTGCGGAGACAAAACATGGTTATTAAGCTTTCCGGATCGACAGCCAACTCTCCAACTCACCCTTGATCATGTTCTCGATGTGACTGCACACGGTGCGCACGGCGGCCAGCTCCTTCTTGGTGCCGAACCACTTCTCCACCTTCAGGGTGCGCTTGTCGGGCATGTACATGTCCAGGGCCAAGTGCTTGAAGCTGCGCTTCAGCGTGCCGCGGGTGCCGGTGATGGTCACCACACGGGCCTTCACCGAGGCCTTGATATCCCTGGGGATCTTCACGCACTGGTTGGAATTGATCGTTCGCATGTTGACGAGTCTATGGGAAACAAGTAAATGGGGTTATTTCGTTAGCTTCACATAGGGTAAATCAATTGCAACATCCAACAGGTGATTCTGGGGTACCCCGGTTTGGCGGTTTACTCGGCATTTCATTTATTTAATCCGTAATATATGTTAAATGGCTCAATAAGATTCCGGCGAGTAGCAGCCGTACAGAAGCATCGCCAGGGTAGCGCTGCCCACACCACCACTGGTTTGTACCGCCAAATTATGTCATTTAATCCGGTGTTCCCGACCACTATTTCGGTGCAAGCTTCACAGAAACTTACTATCGGACCGGCCAATTACAATAAATTGTAATTTAACGAAATTGCAAATTAATAAAATGCAATTTTACGAAATCCACGTGTGGGCTCGTTCCGGAAACGAGACGAAAAGAAAGAAAACAGAGTGACCGCAGAATTATCGATAAATTATACCGTCCGGCTCTGAAAAATATACTTTTTAACAATTCTTTTTAGGAATATACCAGAAATATGCCATTTCAAATAAATGTTTATTGTTTTCATATTCAATTTTAATAAAAATGAATAAGTGCATTTCATCGTCGAATTGTCTAAAGAAACAGAAGTTTTCTAAAGGGATCTTTCATCTCTATTTGTCAAAGTTTTCAAGAGAACTGGGTGCCCGCTTACAGAAATACCAAAACAGCAAATACAGATAGGCGTTGGTGTTATCGAAATTATATACTAATATATACCAGCAATCGGGGCGAATGGCAATTCTTGCTGAATGGTAAAAAATATTTGGTATAAAATAATGTTTAATTAGCATTGGACTAAAAAAAAAGTAATAATAATAATAAATAGCAAAACACTGTAAACAAATATATTTATTTGTTATTGATATCTTTTTTTTTTTTTTCAATATAAAAACGGGATAAAAATATTATTTTTATAGGTCTTGTTATTTTATTTAATTTATATTTTATAATTAAAAATCGTAGACTATTTATATACGAATTTGTCCTATATTGAATAAATTTAAGGTATAATTAATTAAAGAATTCCGTTAATATTCAACAATTCTATCGGATATCGATAACATTGATAGGCCAACCATAAGGCGGGAGCGTGGGTACAACAGCATCGGCCGGCCGTAAATTGCGAATTTTCTCTCAAACATTTGTTTTAAGTTGGATTATACAGTTTTACTTGCTCACCGTTGGCCCGCATTAGTTTAGGTTCCCACAATGACTGCTCCGCAAGCCCAACTTGACTTCTTCGCGACGGCAGGAAAAATGCTGGAGTGGCATGACAATCTGGACAGAAATAAGCCGGGTCTTCTAGAGGTAACTTCACCACTGGGACCGCAGTTTGCATTTCTAAAAATCGCCTAACAACGTCTTTGCAGTTGACGGGCGTCAGCCAGCATGGGAGAGCCACAACGAGTGGACTCAACGACTATGATTACCAAAGCCTGTCCTTTCTCAAGTCGGACGAAACACATAACCTACAACAGCTGCGGACGGTGACCAAGTCGGGCATACCCAAGGAGATCCTGGAGCACTTCAAGCGTGGGTAGTTTTGGATCCGAAGTCAACTGGGTTCTACTTTGTCCCTTATACCTTGCAGATATCAAATGCCACTGTACCATGGGCCTGTTTCCGGAGATTGGGCGGGCTTGGCTGACGATCGATTCGGAGATTTACATTTGGACCTTCAATCAGTCACGCGACGTCGCCTACTACGACGGGCTGAGTCACTTGATTGTCAGCGTTGGACTGATCAAGCCCAGAGCGGGTGTCTTTGTGGAGGACGTCAAGTACCTCCTGTTGCTCACAACGCCCATTGAGGTGATCGTCCTGGGTGTGATGTTCGGTGAGAGCGGTTTCAACGAAATGCAGCTGATGAACAGGCCCATATTCGTGATCGGTACGGATAACGTCTCCATCAGTGTCATCAAGGGCACAGACGACGGACGCATTTTCCTAGGCGGCCGCGATGGCTGCCTCTATGAGATCTTCTATCAGGCGGAGTCATCTTGGTTTGGCAAGCGTTCCAAAAAGATCAATCTCTCACAGAGTCTGGTCTCGCTGATGGTGCCGAATTTCCTCAAAGTTTTTTCGGTAACTAGGAGTAACCTGCTATGGAAGGGCTTCCTGAACCGACAGAGTACGTTTTTTTTTTTGCAGGAAGTGGACGGTATAGAGCGCATTGAGGTCGACAACAGTCGAAAGCTGCTGTATGTGCTCTCGGAAAGGGGATCCATCGAAGCCTGGGACATCAGTACGGATTACACAGGAGCCCGAAGGCTGGGCAGGATCACCCAGAGCGATATTACAAGCCAAGCAGTCAAGCTGATCACGTAAGTAAAAGTTTATTAAAAAAATAATATAAATTCTTTAAACTCTACTTTATCTTTTAGTACGGTTGATCCCACGATTTTCAAGTGTGTCAAGGCCATTTGCCCCCTTACAGCCGATGATTCCAGCAAACTTCATCTCGTGGCCGTCACCCAGTGTGGCGTTCGTCTGTACTTCTCCACCACATCGCTCGCTGTGCAGCAGCAGCAATTCGACCCTACAGCTAACTGCTCACAATTCGATAATCAAGGTTTTGGTGGCCAGGCACAACTTCCGCCGCCTGTCGCAGGTGAAACTCCAAGGGGGCTTTATTTACTCCATGTTCGCCTGCCGCCTGGTTACACGCCGAATGCCACCACGAATAAGCCAAAGCAAGTGCATGCCGCCCACTACACCGAGGGCAATATGTTGATGATCACCACCCAGCAGCAGGAACAGGATCTCCTCTGGTCGGTGAACTCGGCACCGTCGGTTAACTTCACCTATTTGGTAGAGTCAACGGCTCTGGAGAGTCTGGACGGTGTGGTTTGGGGCATGGCCGAGGTGAAGGAACCAAGTGCTCCATTCCTAAAGTCCCCCTTGAATAGTGCCCGACACTCGCGGAAAGTGGCGCTGCTCACCAATCAGGGCACACACATAATTGAGCTGCTCAAGATGCCGGACGTTCTCATGCAGATTCTGCAGTACTGCAATGGCCCGCATCACGAGGAGGTGAAGATGTTCTTTCAGTCGCAAAATCAACGCGAAGCCTGCGTCACGGCCCTGCTGCTGGCCACCTCTGATAGCTATCGTGGCGGTAATGTGGCCCTGTGGGCCACCCAAGCCTTTATGCTGTACGGCGGTGAGCCCTGCTTCCAGCATCAAAAGTTCCTGAATGCCAATAACAACCGCACCCTGGCGAATCAGACGCAGCTTGGCTCCAGTGCAGTCACCGGTAGAGAGCGATTGCCCATATTTATGTCTACGCCAATGCCAAATGCCAATCAGGGGAATACGCCGATGTCTTACAATGCTCCGCAGTTTAATCAGCCAATAAGTCCAAGTAAGTAAAGGGTTTTTCTGGTTAAAATGTAATTAATAATAATATAAAATGTTTTTATTTCAGTTTCCAATTTGCAACAACCTTCGCCTGTGGTTAATAACGAGAATTCCCAAATTGTTTACTCGGCCAAACACGATGGCTTGTACTTGTACGTCTCCCGTATGCTGCGCTCCATTTGGCAACTACCTTGTGTGGACAAAAACTTCTGCTCCCGCGTGGGTCCCAAAGATTGCTCTGTTTTGCTAGCCGATCTTCGAGCCCTGCGGCGATTCCTGGAAGATCATTCTGTCCACGATATATCTTGTAAGTTTAAAGGAATCTTATGTTTACCCCCAAGTTGTCCCCTATCTTGTTCCTTGCAGCTTCTACTCGCGTTTCGTTCGACACTCACTTGGACAGGACCAGTGGCTACAACACCCTCATTATGGCCAACTCTCATCTGCCCATCTCCGAGCAGCGCAACTATGCCGAGCAGGCTCAGGTGGAGGAAAAGCGTTCCCTCTCCGCCCTCAATCTTTTTGTCAGTAAGTACCACTGTTTGTTTACTTAAAATCCTTTAATAAAACCGTAAATTATCTTTATTAAGAGCACGCCTGTGAGGTTCTCTCTCTGTGGAGTATCTTGAATGCTCACAACTTTCAAAACATTTGCCTGCAACTCAATACTGATCAGCAGAATATGCTCAAGTGCTGTACTTTCCGAGACCTACTGCTCACCCGTTCGGAGGTTACCGCCTTTCTGATCATCTCCTTGATCAATCTGTATCTGAAGGATAAGGCCGGAGTGGCGGAGGTGTCCAACAACTTGCGCGAGCAGTGTCCTAATCTCTACAGACATGAGGATGCCGTCACCTACAAGGCCACCGAGCTATTGATGAACGCCAAGAACTGTACTTCGGCCACCGAAAAGGAGCAGAAGCTACGAACCACTCTGCAGATGTGCAAGGAAGCGGCTCCCACATTGCCGTTGCGCAGTATTTGCCAGCAGTTTACATCCACAGAGTTCTACGAGGGTGTCATTGAGCTTACGGCCGTGTGTGCGGCCAAGAGCGATCCCGAGGAGGTGGGCATACATTTCTATAAAAACGGTGAACCATCCGAGGATCGCGAGGGATACACTTGCTTTGTTACCAGGTGAATATAGTCATATATCGTTTGAGCAAAAGTTTTGTTATTTTACTCATTTTATTATTTCTAAACCTTTATCTTCAGGATGAACTACTACAAGGAGGTACAAAATATGCTCGATCATATTTATCAGACGGCTCGCAATAAGGCAAACCCACAGGATGAAAGCCAAGCATCTCCCCTTCAATTCAAAAACATGAACTTTACCAAAATCATCCCTAAAATTGTGGCCCAAACGCTGCGCGTCAAGGATCCCCTGATCCATGTGACCCTCTACGAATGGCTGCTTGCCCACGATATGCTCAGTGAGCTATTGGATGTGGAAGAGCCAACGCTGGGCGAGTTCCTGCGACGCAATGCCACACGCAATGGCGATAATGTGGGTGTGATCGATCTGCTGTGGAAGTACTACGAGAAGAACAATCATCATCCCCAGGCAGCAAAGATTTTGGATAACTTGGCAATGACCCGCAGCGAAAATATAACTTTGGAGCAGCGCATCGAGTACTTGGTGCGAGCGGTGATGTGCATGCGAAATGGTAACGTCGGTTCGTCCATAACAAGTGGGATATTCCTGAAGGAGCTGGAAGATAAGGTAATTAAATAATACCAAAATATATACATATATAAATTTAATTTCATATCTTATAAATTCCAAAAATCCTAGCTGGACATTGCCAAAGTTCAGCGAACAGTACTTTATGCCATGAAGGAGCTGGCTCGCACTAACCACGAGGCAGCCAATGCCGTTAAGGAGCTGCACTATGCCATGTACGATATCACACAGCTGTATACACACTTTGCCGAGCCCTTCAATCTCTGGGAGTGCCAGTTGTCTATACTGAATTGCTCCCACCACAACGATCCCTTGCTGATCGAATCGGTCTGGGGTAACATTATTAACAGCATTGTTGAAGAGCCTGGAACGGCTGTGGAGCGCAGCAATCGGTTGTTTACCAAAATAGAACTATTGGTGAGGGAATATAATGAATCGGGTGCCTGCTTCCCCTTTGCCTTCCTCATAAGGGAGCTGGAAATTAAGGCCTGTCAACTAAGGCTACCAGAGGGAATTGTGCCGGAAAAACTGATCGCAATGAGTCTGGATGTTGAGCTCCTTCTCGAATACTACTCAAGGTGGGTGACTATAGATTTAGAATAACCTTAAACACGAACTTATGTTGGCTTACATTCCAGAATGATTTCAATGAACGAACGGGTGTGGGCCAACGAGGGTAATGAGTGGCATTTGATACAGTCAGCCATCCGAGTGGTCACCCTTCTGGCGGACAACGCACAGACCGTTTGTTATAGATCCAAGTTAGTATTGAGAAAGGGAATGTTGCATTAAATTAAATAATAACAATGGATGTTTTTTCCCCTACAGACGACGCATTATTGGCAAGGCGCAGGACATAGTGGCTGGTTGTTTGAATATCTGTTACCAAAAGCCCGACACCAATCGTCTTCAGAACTCGCTCAAGGAACTTCAGAGCCGGATGCAGCGCTTATTGGTTTAAAGTTAAATAATTCTATTTTTTTAAAATGAGAATTAAATTTCTGAACTAGACGTTAAGTTTGACTGAGATATATATTTTGTAATTGTATTAAAAGTGTTAAATAAATTGATTCCCCACGTCGAAATATGATCACGAGGTGTCCATCATCTTCAGATGTGCTTCCGTCAGAATGCATTTGGTCATGTGGCAGGAGCAGGGCATTGGATGCTCCTCAGTGTTGGGATCGAGCAGATCCACCTCCAGGTTGTACTTTCGCATGTCGCCCGCACTGCGCTTCATCGTTATTTGAAAGGCAATGGGTGATTTCTCCTCCAGGCTCTCGCAGGATTCCTCGGGCAGCACAACCACGCACTGTTTCCAATGCGTTGGTGGCGACAGCGGTGATGTGCTCAGAACCACAGACTCTGACTCGTCGTCGCCCGGGAAGCGAACCTCGAACCAAATGCAGAATCCCTGATGGTTTCCAGCCTTCTGGGCAGTAACCACCTCTTTGAACTGAATGCTGTCTAGGTCGCTGGCACTGACATCCAGCAGGTTCATCCAATGGAAGACGACGCCTTCATGAAGCAGGTCTTTGGGGTTCAAGTGCATAACCTCCGGCCGGGATGACTTCTGCGATCTCAACTTGCTAGCAAATGTGTTCATTTTAATGCCGTCCACACTGTGCCAGTCGTCGAAGAGCGATGGAACCGCGCAGGGTGCCACGAAAATGGTACACTCGCTGGGAAACAAAAGGCCACCCTCCTTGAGGAACTTGTCCCTGGCCAGCAGGACCGAGTCCAGCATGCCCTCGTGCAGTAGGTAAAAGCCCATCCATTCGGAAACGATTATGTCCACCTTCTCCGCCTCGGCAGGCAGCACGAATTCCTCGATCCGGGACTGAATGACCTTAACCACGTTCGTCAGGCCATTGTCTTCGATCAGATCCAATGCCACTTTGGTGGCCACATTGGAAGCCTCCACGGCGTACACCAAACGGGCGCCAGCCTGTGCACAGAAGGCGGATAGGATTCCAGTGCCGGCGCCCACATCCATAACGATTTTATCTTTGAACAGTGCCTTGTTCCCAAGTATTGCATTGTAGTAGGCGGCTTGTCGGGGACGATCCTTCAGCATGAGCTCGTGGATCTGCCATTTGAATTATTGTGCATAACTTTTGGGATCTTTATTTGTATCAAGCTTACCTCCAAGTTTTCGTATTCATCGAAATAAGCGTTAGCCATGGTAGAATCAAAACATGCACAGGTAAAGTTTTCAAAACAACGTGCTAGAATCGCCAGTGCGACCAGAGATCTCGAGCATATTGCTTGTCGGATAATCGATAAAATAAGTAAGACCATTCGACGGAATCAAGAAAATCCGCGCGTTTTATCGGTTCACAGGGGTATTTTTGGGCGGAGGGAAGGCCGCCAGGCCAAAATGGCCGTCTCGTCCATTTCGTTTTCGTCTTCTCCCCAATAAAGTTGATAGACCTACAAGTAAGATTTTCAATGTTTAATTTTGGTGTGAAATAGACCATTTAAGAGAATATTAACTAGTGCTCAGCAAAGCCATGAATTTGAAGAACGTTAATAGCCTAATTTCAATGAGAAATGCCTCGAGATCAAGTATATTTTTAAGAGAATGTGTAGCTTGACCCAAGTGGTGTCACCACGTGTTTCAAAATGGCGACAGCTGAGAAAATATGTGAATCGAATGATGATTACCTTAAATACCTTTTGCGGTTTCCACCAGAAGGCTTCGGCCTAAAGATGGGCAAGGCGTCTGACCAGAAAACTAAGAATTTCGAGTTCTCCACAATTTGTATCTTCGAAACTAACCTCATTGTCGTTTCTCTTGCAGAATGGCGGACGCAGCTCCAGCCCGTAGTGGATTCCGTGGCGGATTTGGCTCTCGTGGTGGTCGTGGTGGACGCGGTCGTGGCCGTGGACGCGGCGCCCGCGGTCGTGGCGGCAAGGAGGACTCCAAGGAGTGGGTGCCAGTGACCAAGCTGGGTCGCCTGGTGCGCGAGGGAAAGATCAAGTCCTTGGAGGAGATCTACCTGTACTCTCTGCCCATCAAAGAGTTCGAGATCATCGACTTCTTCCTGGGCTCCGCTCTCAAGGATGAGGTGCTGAAGATCATGCCCGTGCAGAAGCAGACCCGTGCCGGTCAGCGTACCCGCTTCAAGGCCTTCGTGGCCATCGGCGACAACAACGGCCACATTGGTCTGGGCGTTAAGTGCAGCAAGGAAGTGGCCACCGCTATCCGCGGCGCCATCATCTTGGCCAAGCTGTCCGTGGTCCCGGTGCGCCGTGGCTACTGGGGCAACAAGATCGGCAAGCCCCACACCGTGCCCTGCAAGGTTACTGGCAAGTGCGGCTCCGTCTCCGTGCGTCTCATCCCTGCCCCCCGTGGTACTGGCATCGTTTCGGCCCCCGTGCCCAAGAAGCTGCTGACCATGGCCGGTATTGAGGATTGCTACACCTCGGCCCGTGGCTCCACCGGCACCCTCGGCAACTTTGCCAAGGCTACCTATGCCGCCATCGCCAAGACGTACGCTTACCTTACCCCTGATCTGTGGAAGGAGATGCCTCTGGGCTCCACCCCCTACCAGGCATACTCGGACTTCCTGTCCAAGCCCACTGCTCGCCTGCACGCCGATGCCTAAAGCGACGACCATCCAATGCAGAGTTTTTGAAATAAACGTCAATAACATCTAAGCCATATTGTTTTATGATTTTAAAGTTAGGATAGCTGACACTGCAAGAAAAGGCCAAGTGGGTTTGCAGCTTAAAGTATTTGTATATATTTTAAATCAGTTTTATACTACAAGATATGGACAAACTAAGAATCCTACGCCTTTACGCCATACGCCTCTGGCATACGCTCAATGGCGTACTTGTGCGCCGCCACGTACATTATGGGTACCCCCGGGATCTTGCGGATACGGTTCTTCAGGTCCTTGTCATTGGTGGCCACGATATAGCATTTGTGCTGGCGCACACGCTCCACCAGACAGTCGTCAGCATAGGTGCCCTTGTGCAGGCAGGGAAGACGCTCGAACCGGGGATCCGAGATGATGCGCAGGGCCAGCTTGTACTTGTTGCCCAGCTTCTCCAGCTCGGCGCGTACGCAGTCAGAGATGTAGGGTATGCACTTGGCATACAAACAGTCCATCATTCCCTGCACAATGTCCAGCTTGTTCTTGATGCTAAAGTTGATGAAGTTCGTATCCAAGACGACGTGGTAGGGCGGGCCCAGTTGGGTGTTGTACTGGAAGAACAACGCGGAGCTCTGCTGGGTGACCTGGTGCACCTTGAGTTCGTGCGGGTCGGCAGCCTTCTTTCGTTTAATCCTGGTTTGTTCCTTGATTCGAGTGTCTGTGGGTTTCATCAGGCGTTTCAGTTGCGCATTTCGCTGCTTCTTGACCTTTTGCGTCTTCTTGTGTTTTCCCTGTAATGTACAGATAATGTGTAAAGGTGGGAAAACTTTGATATGGCATGTTAATTACCATTTTCAGATGGAATTCCCTATAAAACGTAAACAATTAAAAACGAACCACACGTGCGGTTAACGATTTTGGTGATCAGCTGTTCGAGCAGAGTGGATTTCAAATTGTCTATCGATATTAAAAAACATTAAAAAATGTATGTATTTAAAAACATTATTATAAAAACTATATGGACCTAATTATTATAATAATTAACTCACATAATTGAGTGAAACGTTAAATCATTCTCCTTGCTTTCTCAGACAAATAATACTAAAAAATACCAATATTACTATTTGCAATAGTTCGATACTTGCAATTTATCGATAAGAGGAGTTGCATTTCTTCCTTCATCGCCGCCATTACTTTCCACGTGCATTTGTCGGATGTCGTTCATTTCATTTTAAAAACTCAAGATGGTAAGTCGAACTAAGTTAATTAATAAAAGTGAATTAAATAAAAGTGTTGTGCCTCAAATGATGAAACTGATGACGAGACTGAAGGGACATTTTCTCGACTTAACGCTGTATTTTTCAGTGTTTTGTTGAACAATATTTGTTCATTTAAGATGAATCGGCAATCTGATGGCACTTCATTTCCATAATAATTCGTTTTTCATGGCCGAAACTGAGTGCTAATGATAGTTATTCCTTTTGCAGTGAGAAATAACGCAGATTTAATGGATAACTTGAATTTGAAGCGTACATTGTGCGCGTGAGACACCTCGGGACACATGTGCGGCCGATGAGACACCTCGGGACACGAGGCTGTTGAGACACCTCGGGACACATGTGAGGCGCTGAGACACCTTGGGACAAATGTGAAGCCGCGTGCGACCTCTTGGGGACACTTTCCACATTGAAGGTAAGATATAGTTTTCTTCAAGTATATGCCTCTGCTCTTGTGATGATTTTTTACACAGACCTGTACCGAGAGCTAGACTCGTGTGGAAAATTGTAAACTGATCCAAGAAGCAAAATTTTTTCTTGCAAGATTGGTGAAAATGTACACCTATTAATTCAAAGTTTTCCTCGCCCGTATTTCCAGGTCTTGAAAGCCTTGTTGAGGTTAGGTCTTCCTACTTATCGATGGATGCGGCCAAGCACGTGTATATAGCGAAGCAAGGTGTGTACTTTATTAATTAACAGTTAGAAAATAACTAGCTAAGGTGCTTAAATGATGATTGCTTCAAATACCTTTTGCGGTTTCCACCAGAGGGCTTCGGCCCAAGGATGGCTTTTGGCGTCTGACTCAAGCTCTTTTATTATTAGTTTAGTTGCCTCTTAATGTACAAGAACTAATTTATTATAATTTTTTCCATTTCAGAATGACTGACTTGTGCATTTGCTGATTGAAAGGAGATTTTTCAAGCCGGACAACCTATTAGAAAAATAAATCATATAAATAAAAATTTGTCATTTGTTTTATTTTACAAGGCTTTTAAGAAAGAGCCAGCCCTATTTAAGTTTTTTTTTTTTAATGCTTAATTTATATTGTGATGCATATTTTCGCTGATTTTTAAATCTGTCTCTGTTGCCTATGTAAAAAGCGTACTGCAGATCTTACGTTATTTATATAGTTATTTAATAGCGTAATTTGGAATTCCCTATAACGTTACCTAAGAACGTAAATAAAATTTGTAATTGCTAACTTTAATTTAATAGGGATATTCCGCTATGCAAAAAATATATTACATATATGGACATTTAAATTTAAGCGCCTCGCTACTAGTCCGATTAACCGCCGATAGCTTTCGATATCGATAGCGTGGACAATGAGACGCGCCGGTTTAATCAAACCGCTGCTCCGTATAAATAACAACAAATCGCGGGTCTGGAGAGAAAACTACGCCAGCCAAGTGGACACCAATTTGGCCGAGTGTACGCTGGACCCCAAGGAGTATGTGGACTTCAAGCGGCAACTGCGACAGATCAATTTGCCCCACAAGGACGGGCACACGTGCTTGCAGCTGGAGTGCCGGTTATGTGAACGCAACAGGCAGCTGCCGGCAACGGCAATCAGCGTCCAAAGAAGCCCGGACCCAGGCGGGCTGCTGGCTTACGTAAACAAGCGAACGGGTGCGTTTACAACCCTTATGTATCTTAAATATCATTGTCATTTTGGTATCCATTTTCAGGCGCCTTTATCTGCCCAAACTGCGATGTGAAAACCTCACTGGCTAATGCTCTGACAGCTTATCAGCTGCCACCGCCCGTTGGCTACAAGAGACAGCCGCAAAGGCAGCCTCTATATGAATCCCGCTTTCAGAACCTCATCGATGTAACCCCGGAGGCCTGCGAGTCACTGGGCATTAAGGGTTTGAAGGAGGCTGCTCTCTTGACCGCCATTGGAGCCCAATGGGAGCCACAGATGCAGCTGTTGCACTTTAAGTTGCGCAATGCCTCGCAACAAGTTGTGGGCGAGAAGGTGCTCCATATGGATGATCGACGGGAGGAGACCTTCCAGGGCAGCTCCAGCTCCGGCCTGCTGATCCATGGCGCCGGAAACAAAACCAAAGCCATTCTAGTCAGTAATCTTCTTGACTTTATTGTTCTCGCCACACAAAATATTGAAACGCGTAAGAAGCACAAAGATTAGCATTTAATTATGAGATTAATTTCAATATCTTTCAGATTGCATTGTCTGCCTGCCCTACGAGTTGAATATGCTGCCGCAGGAGTGCCTGCCTGGGTTGGAGCGCTTCAAGGAGCTTGTATTCTGGCTGCACTACGATGCAAGTCATAGCTGGGATGCCGCTCGAGCGTTCGCTCTCAAAATGGATGAACGACGGTGTCTGTTAATTCGACCCACAGAAACGGAACCGGCGCCGCATCTGGCTCTCCGCCGTCGCCTTAACCTGCGTCACATTGTTGCCAAGGCGACACCAGTGCGTCACAAGGCGATCACCACGTTTGGGGCAATGCGAAATGACATACTCAGCGAGCTGCAGAACATCGAGAAGGTGAATGGGGTGAAGTGGAAACGTTTCCCGGTGCTGAACAAGCTGCTCAAGGGACACCGGAGAGGCGAGTTAACCATCCTCACTGGGCCGACGGGCAGTGGCAAGACGACCTTCATGAGCGAATACTCCCTCGACCTGGCCATGCAGGGCGTGAGCACGTTGTGGGGGTCCTTCGAGATCCGTAACACCCGCTTGGCGGCCACATTGTTACGTCAATATGTTGGATACCCGTTGGACGACAGACTGCAGGAGTTTAACCACTGGGCCGAAGAATTCGAGCGCCTGCCACTCTACTTTATGACCTTTCATGGCCAGCAGCCGCTCAAGCCTGTGCTGGAGGCCATCGAGCACGCATCCTATGTGCACGACGTAATGCATGTGATTATCGACAACCTGCAATTCATGATGGGAGTGTCCACGTATCGCGGCGACAAGTTTTGGGAGCAGGATGCGATAATAGCTGCCTTTCGGGGCTTTGCCACCAAGCACAATGTCCATGTAACGCTGGTCATGCATCCGCGAAAGGAGCGGCAGGAGGACGAGCTGACCACCAGCTCGGTTTTCGGAACGGCAAAGGCCACACAAGAGGCGGACAACGTTCTGATCATCCAGGATAAGAGACTAACGTCGGTGAGGGGCAAGAAATACCTGCAGATTGCCAAGAATCGTTATTGCGGTGATCTGGGTATCATGCCGCTGGAATTCGACAAGGATGCCCTTAGTTACTCCACTCAAATCCAGAACGCCAAGAGACGACGAGAGCAGCGTGAAAAAACGGAATCAACAGAGGCTTAACGTATGAAAATCTTTGCTTATTATTATTATTAATCTTATTATTATTAGGTTGTCTATGGCTAGGTTAGGCCTAAGCCTATCCTTTGATAAAAGACATCACGTTGAGCTCTGCTTGTAGTTTTTGGTGTTCAGGATCTTCTTGCCGCACATGGCACAGATGGCCTTTTTGTAAGCGCACGCCTGACAGTAGTGGGCGCCCATTTGGTGCACCTTTTGCCGGCAGATCCTAATGGGGATAAATCTACTTTAAAGAGATTTTCATAAATATGTAGCCTGTGTTGATGCTCACCGGCAGGGTGCCAAAGTGGTGCCTATGGGATTGTATCTCTCGCGTGCCGATGATAGCGCTTTATTCTCGTTGATTTTTCGGCCGCCAGCAGGAGCGGTACTCGTTCGCCAGGGATTTGGAGCAGATACTTTGGACAATTTCGCCTCGCACTTTTCGCAAACCATTTTTCTTATCAACTTGCTTTCTGTTTACAATTTACAATAACAGTGTGACCCCTCGGCGTACGGAAAAAATTGTGAGGCTATCGTTATCGAAAATGTTTGTCAAGCTATCGTTATCGAGGATATTACACTATCCTATCCGAATTTTGCACTGTATTGGCAGTTAAGATTTAAAACTTTTGAAAGACTAGTTTAAAAACTTTTGAATTATAGTACATTTATTATAGTGTACGGTCAAATTTCCAAAAATTTAACCAACAAATTTAACATTCCTTATAAAGGCGATGCATATTTTACATCTTATGCTAAAAAGTTATTAAAATTAGATTTTGTTTGGGTTATAAGCTTTTTAAAAAACCGTTTTTACAATAGTTTCCAGATAAACAATCTTCAATCAATGGAGACCGATATTAGAAAACCTAGGTTTGTTTAGTTTGTTTTTCTTTTGTGTGTTTGGATGTGGCGTGTAAGAGTTTGCTTTAATGAAAAAGACTTCTCGCACTGCGAGCACTTGAAAGGTCTTTCTCCTGTGTGGGTTCGAATGTGCAGCTGGAGATGATGCTTTAGTGAAAAGGTCTCCTGGCAGTGGGAACAATGGAAGGGTCGCTCTCCTGTGTGTGTCCGCATGTGGCGCTTAAGATCTCCGCTTATCAAAAAAGACTTTGGGCAGTCGGAGCACTTGTAGGGACGTTCTCCTGTGTGGGACAGAATGTGCAGGTGAAGGCTTTGGCTTAGTGCAAATGTCTCCTGGCAATGGGTACACTTGTAGGGTCGTTCTCCTGTGTGTTTCCGCGAGTGTCGGTTAAGGTCGCCAATTGTCAAAAAAGATTTCGGACAGTCGGAACACTTGTAAGGACGTTCTCCTGTGTGGGACAGAATGTGTCGCTGAAGATGTCCATTACGCGAAAAACTCTCCTGGCACTGAGAACACTTGTAGGGTCGTTCGAGAGTGTGGGTCCGGATGTGTAGTTGAAGATTTCCCAATTGTGAAAAAGACTTTTGGCAGTGGGAACACTTGAAGGGTCGTTCACCCGTGTGGGTACGGATGTGCCCCTCAAAATGGCCCTTGTGTTCAAATATCTTCTGGCAGTGGGGACAGTTGTACGCTACTTTTGGAGCTCTCACAGGATATTCCTCCTCGTTTTTATCATTTCCATCATTTATATCATCACAGTAATCATCTGTTTGATTTGAATTATCCTCGGACTCCTCGCATTTTACCTGGATGTCAAATTCGCTGATTTCATAAACAGAAACTGGGTCTTCTTCCAGTGGCTCGTTCTTCACTTGAACATCGGGAAACTCGTCGCCTTTTGGTTCTTCATTCTCCATAAAGTCTTCTTCGAGTGCTTCTATTTTTACTTTAGAATGAATCCTTTGAGCTTCGATTTCTTGGTCACAATCCAAGCTCATGCCACCCCTTTCGCAGAGTTCCTCCTTCAGGATGGAGTTTTCTTCCTTGAAATGAATTTCCATCTTGCAGAAGGAATTGGCATGGCTATTTTCTTGTATTTTATAAAGATAAAATAATTTCTTGTTTATGTTTGTAGAATTGTGTGACCGCGGTGTAAACACTTAAAAATACCACGCGAATGAAAGGGAACAAACACAGCTGACCAAAACACAAAGTTATCGCTTATATTTATCGAAACCGGTGCAGCTCTATCAGACTATTTGTTGTTGAATTAAAATTGCAAAAACCAGAGGAAATGACGACGGAAAAGGGCGAGCAACTGAGGTCTGATTACAATAGATAAATATTCAATTACTGTGCCACTAAAACGCATTTGCATTGCAGGCAACAGCTCATCGCGGCGGTGGTAAAAAAGCGCGCGGCATTAGCGCGGGCCCATGCCGTTGTAGTGCGGCTTATGGAGCCGGGAATACCGGAGGCCGAGTTCCTGTCTCTGGTAAAAATAATGCAAATTAAAAGCGTCATGAACAGAATTAGCAATACAAAAATGCCTTTAACTGTAGCTCTGGGAGATTGGCCCGTCGAATTACGCAGATATCGTGGATGAGCGGGATATAAACAAACTATGCGGCTATCCGTTATGCTCCAATCTCCTAGAGAAGTAAGTGCTTCGATTAGGGGAACCCAAAGGACTTACTTTGATCGAGACATATCTTTTTTCAGGGTCCCAAAGCAAAAGTACGCCATTAGCGCGTCCAAGAACAAAGTTTACGATCTCACAGAGCGCAAGAAATTCTGTTCCGGATACTGTTTCAAGGCCTCAGAGTACGTAAAGGCCCAGGTGCCCACATCACCACTATGGCTGCGGGACAGGGAGACGAGAGCCAGCTTTCAGCTGCTGCCGCGAGGTACTTGACTACCCTAATTTAGCACTTGACGCGTTTTATTTATGTATTTCGTATAATAAGCATTTCTTCATTACATTTACTGGATTTTCGATGAGGGACTATAAGCCCTGGGGTATAATATTAATAATAATAATTAAAGCACTAAGGCGATGATCCGCTTTAGATCATGATTATATTGTCGCGCTCTAGCGTGAGCTCAGCCTCGCGTTTGGCATCCTCTTCAGACCACTCGCCGCACTTGCTCAGCACGTCGGTTTCGCGCAGAGGTTCGTCCTAACAAAGGAAGGATACGACGCAAGGGATGAGAGAGATGAGAATATTTTACTTTATTTGGTTTTTTGTTTTGTTTTCATTCTGTAGTTGGCAATACCTCTTTATCGTTGGCAGCCAGTTTGGTGAACATGTTGGCATAGAGCTTCTTCTCCTTGTTCTTGCTCTCCTTGATCTTCTGCTTGCAGATGATCACTTGGTTGGCAGCAGCCTTGTTGCCCGGTTCCAGTTGGATAACCTAATCAAAGAGATGTTTAAATCTTGTCGTTTGTAATAAGAAATAGTTTTACCTTTTGGAAATCCTCTAGAGCATCATCAAACTCATTAATGGTCAAGTTGCACTGACCGCGACGATAGAGGGCCTTCACATTGTTCTCATCCAAAGCTAGAACAGCGTTGCACTAGAATAAAGCATACAAATTCGAAATTAATTAACTAATTTGTGGGGCTTTTACCGATGATACCCACCTCCTGTTTGGCTTCAAAGTGATCGTTGGACTTCTGGTGGCACAGCGCAATGTTGCTGTGCGTGGCTATCTTGACCTTCTTCACCTCCTCGTTGGTATCGGCATTGGTGGGCAGTAGGCTCTTGCACTTGTTGTACATCTTGATGGCCAGTGCCCAGTTCTCTTTCTTAAAGTAGTTGGTGCCCTTCTCCTTGTATGCCTTGGCCTCTGCCAGACGCTCATCGTCGCTCAGCTTCCACTCCTCCAGCTTCTTGCCGCAGTCGATGAGTTTCACAGTATACTCAACGGCGGAGTGGGGTGGGATCTTGAACTCTTCGCTTCCCTTGTCGCCAAAGGCATACTTTGACTGAATCTTTATTCTAAGTGGAGGAAAAGATGCAGATTGGTTGGGTTTTCTTTCTTTCTTAGCTGTCTCACCTGGAAGTCTCGCCTATGTTCATCTTCTCCAGGGCAATCTCCACACCCTCGATAATGCCAATGGCACTGCCCTCACCGTAATCGAACTCAACATCGCGTTCCTCGAACACGCGGTCCCCGAAAGTGCCAGAAATGTGAGCTGTGTTTGAGTTTTTAGGAAACCACATAAGATATGGTACACCGCAGAATGGTGTTTCAACTTACCCTTGACAAAGGCACCATCGCTGGGGGACCGCTTCTTATCGCTGGCCTCCAGAATGGTGCGGTCAATGCTGCCATCCTGATTGGGACTCAAATCCTCGCCCTTCCAGTTCAACATCTCCAGCTGCAAATAAGGAGAAAAATATATTCTTCTGTTCTAGAGTGTTCTAAAGGAATAAAAGCTAATCGATTGGAAATCAATGAAAATGGAATTTAAAAAATGCTCCGATTATTTTTAATAGATGTTTCCGGAATAGATAAGACTGCACATACCTCAAAGACCAGAGTAGCATCTGGCGGAATGGCGGGTGGGCTGCCGGCAGCCCCATAGGCATAATTCGGGGCACATGTCAAGAAGCAGCGTTCGCCGCGCTTCATGGTGGCCACCCCCATGTCGAAGGCCTTGATCACATTGCCTAAGGAACACGCAAAGTATATTATATAGAGTTTAAAGTTTCCAGAAGTCTCTGTTAGTTGTCAATTCAAAGTCATTTTCACTCACCTTTGCCAAGCGGAAATTCGAAGGGCTCGCGGGCGACGCTCGAATCGAACTCTGTGCCGTCCACCAAGCGGCCGGTGTAGTGCAGAGACACCGTGCAGCCAGTGTGCGGTGTCTCTGTACCCTGGCCCTCTCGCAGGATCTCCTTGAGGACGCCACCATCACCGGATAGGTCAATTTGATTTTCATTCGGCATTTTTTCTAAAAAATTCGCACGACTTTATGGCAAGTAGATGTTAAAAAAACAGTGTGTCCGATGACAGCGTTTAAACAGTGTGGACAGATGATAGAAACAGTGTTGCACTGGTGCGTTGCCAGACTTTTCGTTCATGAGCGACCGTGTGTATGTCGATAAGTAACATTCGATAACATTCACTTTCGTTTTCAATATCGATAAGCCGATATTGCGGGAAGTTTTCAACAAATTCAAATAAACAATGAAGAACTTTACACTGGCTAGAATGAATATAAGGAAATGATAAAGCTTCAACAAAATCTAATTTATTTATTTATTTTTATTCAAAAGAACAGACTTGTACTTTAAAAAATTCCCAGATTTTAAAGTATAAAATATCAGAAGCATCATTTAATATCAAACATCAGAAGAGACATTGCATATTAAATTTTAAATCATGTTAAAAATATACCATTTATTTATTTAATAATTCCTTCATGCTCTTAATAAGCTTAGTAAAATTCGGTTACCCTCTTAATATTTCCGCCTCTCGGTTAATCCGTTTAAACGCCAATTAATGGAATCAAAGGAAGGCTATTATTGTGCATTCCATTTTGGATGATGGACCAAACGCACACATACAGACAACCGAATAAATGTAAGCTGCCCCGGCGGCATTTAAATGCTTGTGCAGCTGCCTGCACACAAAAGTGTGCGTTGCATGCATCAAATATAATCCTGTTACCGTTTTTGCCAGGTTTGATTATTTTGCCCTTGGCTTTGGCACTGCCCAAGTTCCATTTCCATTCGGAGCGAGCAACAATACAAATTAATGCACTTAATTTTATTGGTTTCTATAATTCATGTTCGGTAAGCTGCCCTTCCATAAGCTCATGCATGCGCACAGTGGGGCAATCTGATATTCTGTGATTTCTTTTTCAAGGTCAATAATGATTGAAATAAGGTCAATAATGAAAAGAGCCCACTGTGTGCCGCTGCTGGCTTTAATTTCTGGGTGCGTCTTTATAAATCGGTGCAGCTGTCGCCTGTCCTGTCTCCTAGTCACTAAAATATTAGACAGTCATCAACTAAGGCTTTATCCGAGAGTTTTGGCTCCTTGAAGCCCCGTGTCTGGCACACTTGTCGCTCATTAATTAGGGTTCGTCAGCGGGGATGAATGCACCAAAAGAAAAATAAATTACTTTAAGTGGGGATTAATTGATCTTAACAAATAATTTAAATATTGAATATTTTATTTATTTATTATTTAATGTTTTCTAAAGATAAAAATGTCGGTAAGGCATAAACTTTCCTTTCAAGTTTATTAATTATCGAAAATCTGTTACCCCAAATTAATTTGAAACTAAGGAATAATATGATTCTAATCATTTTTTAGTTAGTTTTTGGAAATTATTTTAATCCCTAAATATTTTTTACAATTACCTCTATGTTTTTTCGAGTGCCAGGGCACTATGTCCGCTTCGATGTCCATTATTTTTGCAGGTATAGAGACATTGACCATTGGCACCATGCCTGCTGCTACTTTTTACAGCTGCCCACGCTCACTGTTGCTCGTCACTCGACTGTAAGCATTCCAGGCGCAGCTTTCACTCGCTTTGAGTGGGAGTGACGAAAGACCAGGGAGAACAGGGCACATACACAGGCCATGCACACCTCACTCGGCGGGTGGAAAACTCACTCAAGATGCTCGCTCGTTCGTTTGCGCTCGGTTGGAAGCTTCGTTTTCCGCTTTTCCGCTTCGGATTGAGCGATTGTGGATGCTGCGTGGTTCGTCGTGGTCCATGGCCGTGTGAAAAGCTGCGTTGAGCGCATTAAGTCGTTAGGGTACAACCAGACAGGACGCACTTTCTCCGGACGCTGCCGCCATTTGCATTTGCCTGCCTCGGCGTGTGCTGTGTGTACCGTTAAGTCCAGCTGCCTGTGACTGTGACTGTGCCTGTGCCTGTGCAGAGAGGGAAATTAGCGGGCAAGCCCCTTAGAAATCAAAGTCGAAATCAAACTGTGAACTTAACTGAACCCAAATCCAATCGAGGAGGCGGAGTAGGAGGAGCAGAAGTTGTAGATTCAACAGCGCAAACAAAGGAGCGTCGAGTGCGTGCAAAAACTCCTATTTACTCCCAAAAAAATCTACTTCTTTACGGCAGCTCCCGCGCGTATCACAGTGTGTGTGTGTAAGTGTCAGTGCGTGTGTGTGATCATCAACAGAAACAAAAATAAAATTAAAT